CTGCAGTCAGGGCTTGGAGACCTGCAGGCTATGTGTGATGTGTGAGTCACAGGGGCTTCAGACCAGCTAGGCCAGTGGTTTCCAATCACCTGGGCAGTGTGTTAATAGATTCCTGGGTCTCGCCTCTGGACAGGGTGATTGTGCAAGTCTGGATCGTTGAGGTCTCAAATGCTAGTAGTCTGGGCTTAATTTGGGTAGCAATAGGGAGCCACTAAGCATTACTGGGCAGCCACATTCAATGAGCTAATATGGGTAATACTCTAAGAAAAGTGTCTAGTATGTAGTAAGCACTCAATACTTGTTGTTGGTAGTAGTAGTATTACTGAACCAGGGACCTGGGCCAGTGGATTTTGAAGAATGCATGGGTGACTCTGAGCCCTAACCAGAACTGACAACCTCTGGGCTATGGTATTAGCTCCTGAGTCCAGAAACTAGCCTGTGGTCTCTGAAGCCCCAGGACTTAGCAGATTGGTAAGTGCTTGTGAGATCAGGCTGCAGGAGAGATGCTGGCTGGCCTGGGAGAGTCTGGTGGGTGGAGGAGAGAAAGAATCCTTGGGGCCCATTCACAGGGCTGAGGGAGGCAGGGAGGTGTCATGGCTGACCCCGGGGTATCTGGCCTGGGTAGTGCCATGGTGGTGCTCAGGGAATGGGGACCAGATGGTGAAATTAGAGTCTGGGTGGCTGGAACATTGAGGGTTTCAAAGGGTCTGTGGGGTCAGGCCACCAGGGTATACTGGTTTCAGGGGTGTGATGGAGGTGAGGACATTGAGGTGGGCAGGGGAGAGAACTCCTTTAAGAATTCCAGCTGTGAAGAGGGGAGGGAGAAGTAGCTGGCAGAGGGGACAAGTCAGGATTGTTCACCACTAGGAAGAGCACATCTATGGGCTGATGTGCAGGAGACAGAAGTGAAGGAGACGCTGAGAGCACATGCTCAAGCCAGGGGCTGACCCAGGCAAGATCCCTGGGAGGTGGGAGGGACAGTTGGCTTTAGAGGAGAGGCAAAACCCTTGGGGGCTTGGAAGGGGTGTGACTGGGGTGGATGGATGAGAAAATTCAGATGCTCTTATCCCGGAAAGCTCTTTGACCCTGGGAGGAGGAGCCTGTGGGCAGAGGGCATTTCTGGATGTGGATTTGGGGTGACTACCCGGAGAGGCCTGGATTGGGAGCTGCGACCATGGGGTGCTGGGACCTGGCTGTGGGGTGGGACCCCACCTTGCATGGCCCCAGTTGAGGGGCTGGTAGAATGGGTTTGGCCTGAGCTGTAGGAGGCTGCTCCTGGGCATGAGGCCCATCCTGTGAACCACCAAACCTCAGCCTCCAGGAAAGAGGCTAAATATAAGGCTGTGGTGAAGAAGGGAGGGGGTGTGTGGGCCCAAGCCAGGCTGGAGCCCAAAGGAAACTCTGAGACGACCAGCCGAGCTGCTGTGACACACGCTTCCCATGCCAGTGGCCAGTGGTATCTCACCCGCCTGTGGTCATAGCCCCTTCGAGGCCTGTAGGAAGGAAAATAACCCAGAAAGGCACAGGCAGGGCCTGACCTAGGGCTCTATGGCCTGCATGAGGCCCTGATCCCTGGGAAGCTTCTCTCTCACCTTCTGCTTGGAGCTCAGGCCTTAGACCCAAGGCTGGGCCTCAGGGTGCCAGGGTAGGGCATCTAAATCTTCCTGTGTCTTGGGGTCTAGAATGCCCATGGGTTCCCAAGGACCTGGATGCCCATCTGGATGTGGGAAAATGTTGCTCCTTCTTACCACAAGCTCTGTGCAACAGAGGAGGTCAGGAGAGGCTTCCTGGAGGCAGAGGCAAATGCTGGGCCTTAAGTCATGGGAAGGGAGCATGTCTAGCTGGCTGGCTAGGGTGTGCCTTGGGGAGGAAGCAAATGTGTTTTGATTTGCTGTGGACACGTACCATCTTCATCATGACCATTTTGATATGGTTTTCCTCCCAGAAGGGGAGCCTACGGTGACTGTAAGTAGATCTATGCCCTCCTTTTGGCTGGATGGTACCCACTGTGCAAGGGCCCAGGGGCAGTTCTACCCTCTGAATGCCTTCCAACCCCACACATTCTTGCCCAGTACCTAAACTGTGACAGTTCCTATCCTGGGTTCGGCATCTGGGTTCTGGTGGGGGATGAGGTGAACACTTGCCCATCTGTCTCTGCAGCCACTCCACAGTCACTGTGAGCTGGCCGGGTGCGGGGCCCTGGGCTGGGGGACCAGAGCAAGCCAGGCAGAGGCAGTGTGGCAGAACAAGCTTTGGTTTTTGGCAATAGAACTGGTTTCATGTCTTGCCTCTGATTCCTTACGTGCTATGTGATAAGTGCTCCGCTCCTCTGTACCTTGGTCTCCTCATGTAAGTTGGGGTGGTAATCATAGATATCAGCATAGGTAGCAGGGGTAGAAAAACCATCTTTAGAGCTTTACATAGTTTCTGGAATGCAGCAGAAACCAGTAACTAGCGGCACTCAGCTACCAGCCACAGTGGTCCAAGGAGCTTTTATCCATGTTCCTATGTATCTTCCCTGTAGAACTCACTAATCCTAGTGTGACAAGTGCTAAAACCAGGATGGACAGGGGAGGTGGGGGGCAACCTTCTTACTGAGGGTAGTGGAACATGGAGAAATCAGGGGAGACTTCCTAGAGAGGAAGCATCTGAACTCGTCTTGAAGGAGTGGCAGGAATTAGCACAGTCAACAAAGTTGTGCCAGGGTAGAAGAGGCAGTTGAAGGCCCATGAGTGGTTTGGGGTGGCTGGAGTGTGGGGTTGAGGGTGGTGTCCAGAGAAGTGGGGCTGGAGGGTGGGGCTGGCAGAGCCGCACCTGCAGTTCTGTGGCCTGGTGAACAGCCTGTGTCCTTCCCTGAGCCCATGGGAGCCACAAGTGATGGTGACTATGTGAGAGAGAGGCGTGATACATCGGGAGGGGAGCAGAGTCCGTGGCTCCGGAGTGCGAATGGGCCATGGGGCTGGGAGGTGAGTGTGAGTGGCTCCCTAAGGTCAGGTCCAGCTGTGCCACTGCAGGCCTCGATAGAACTCCGGGCCTCTGAGGCCAGGTTGGGACACCTCGGAGGTCCCACTTGGTGTCCCTGCCAACCGCAGGCCCTGGATGGACCCCTGACTTCTGTCTTCAAGACCAGGCCACAGCCCGCCTTGATGATTAAGTCATTAACTGGGCCTCACACAGTCTTTTCATTACGGGTAATTATGATAAATCCACACTGGGCATTAACAAGGAGGAGGCCAGCTTCTCTTGGCTGTCAGGCTGCGAGGACACCAGCCGGGTCTGACCCTGATTCCAGGGAATCGTTCATCACATCCCAGCCCTGGGTGGCAGTAGGGACAAGGACACTCCACTCTCCCACTCCTGTGCCCCCTGCCACCACATGGGACCCTCATACAGTGCTTGGAGATTCCATTCTTGCTCACTTTCCTGTTTTATGACTCTGAGGCTGTGCTTAATCTCCTGCCTCAGTTTCCTCATCTGTCCAGTGGGGTAGTGGTACCAGCTTCATAGGGTTGTGAGGATTAAACTAGTAAAACATGGAAGCCTCCATAATGCAAACCAGTATCTTTTTTTATTATTATTAAGGTATCACTGATATACACTCTTAGGAGGGTTTCACATGAAAAACACTGTGGTCACTACAAATTCACCCATATTATCATCCTCCCCACACCCCACTGCAGTCACTGTCCATCAGCATAGTAAGATGCCACAGAGTCACTACTTGTCTTCTCTGTGCTACGGTGTCTTCCCTGTGACCCCCCCCACACCATGTGTGCCTATCATAATGTCCCTCAATACCCTTCTCCCTTCCTCCCCACCCAGCCTCCTTTGGTAACGTTAATCCCTGCTTGGAGTCTGTGAGTTTGCTGCTGGCAAACCAGTATCTCTTAAGTGCTGACAGCCTCCCCCTCCTCGTCGTCATCATGAAGAGCTCTGGGGGCCGCCCCGATGGCAGGGTCTGGTCCCTCCTCTGTCCCCTGCACGGGTGGGCGGGCGCTCCTAGGCAGGCCCTGTCTCCCCCTGCTGTCTTCCCTATATCCCTTCTCAGTGTAGATGTGTGTAGGTGGGGTGGCTCCAGCCCTTAGGCAGCCTCTGCTGTTCTCAAGAGATAAGGGAGGCAGGGCCCTGGGTGTTGCAGGGGCCTGCGGGGCTGGGGGTTGTGCTTATTTAGGAGTCCTGGTTACATGTTATGGAAGTTGAGAGGGAGGTCTCTGGCTACCTGTACAGCTGTGGCTCTGTCTGTCCGCAGCTGTTGGTGGTTTCCACTTGCCCCCACCTTGACCTGTAGATTCCCACTGGGACAGCAGAGGTGGCCGGGACTTGGGAGAAAGGCAGGCACAGCCTCAAGGGATCCCCTTCCCCAAAGAAAGCAGCCCAGAGCTCTGCTGGTTTCTCTCTGCGTCTTGGCTCCTGCACTGGGAAATGCTGGGTGGCGGGTGGGAGTGTACTGGTTAGAATCCTGAGGACAGTTGGGTGAGTATGTGAGTGTGTTTGTATGTTTGCACATGTATTTGTGCACACGTGCAGGTGAGCAGGTGTGAGCATTGCCTGCAGGCCCCCTCTGCCCTCTCCTTGACCAGAGGGCTTCCTTTGCAGCTTTCAGGGGCTGTCCATATGCTCTCTGGGCTGTAGGCTTTGCTGTCTCCCTGGAGGGCAGGATCCTTGCCTATTCCTCAGGTCCCAGCACCCAGCCTGGGGCTGGGCCACAGCGGGGCAAGAGGCCCAGGCTGGCAGGCTGGCTGTGTGTGCCTTGGGCCCCTGCAGTGGCTGAGTGAAGGGGTGGGGTCCTATCCCCAGGGTAAGCATGGGAGACCACGGGGTCAAGATGGAAGCTTGGCCTCCCAGGCCCTCAGTGGCCTGGCTAAATGGGCAGGGTAGAGTTCTGTAGAGGGGCCAGGCCGGGCCCTGCAAGGTGGAAAGAGGGCTGGGCTGATGTAGGTGGGGTGGGGAACGGGGTCACCAAGGCATCGGACGTAAGCACCTCTGTCTTCCCCTCCCAGGCGTCCTTCTGGACATCCAGCAGCACTTTGGGGTCAAGGACCGAGGCGCCGGCTTGCTGCAGTCAGGTGAGGCACACCCCCTGCCAGGTCTTAGCATCTCGAGCCCTACTCTCTGGAAAGATCATGTGCTTTGTGCCCAGATCCCACTGTTGCCACTCACTGAAGGCACCGCTTACTGCTTCTCAGAAACCTCTGCCTTTCTTCTTGTAAAACAATACAAGTAACAGCTGCCCTGAGGGGCTGTCCACGAGTGCAGGCCGAGGGCCCCAGGTCCTTGGGGGTCACCCTTCTCTTGGGTCCTGGGGCCCAGGGATCCAGGTCCCATCCTGAGGCTGCTGAGGGGAGATCCTTAGGTCAGTAGGTTGGGTAGTGTCAACAGAGCCTGGGTGACCCTTGTTTCCATATCCTCCCCCACCCCAATTCCTTCTGTCACCATCAACCTATGAGTCATCTCGTAGATGTCAAAGCAGGAAGTACCCCTTGGTCTGGCAGGTGCCTGAGAACCTGAGTCCTGAGCTAGTGCTGGGCCTGAGGTTCCCTCTGAGGCCCCAGCCTTCTGACCAGGAGGGAGGCAGGGCCTGAGCCCCTGTGGGTTGGCAGGTCATTAAGCAGTTAGCCCATCTATATGCCCCTCCCTCCGGGGTCCATGTCTCCCTTGTCCCTGCCCTACCCACTTCATGGCCCTGTTGGACCTCGACTTCCTGGCTCCCTGGCCCTCCCACTGGCTGTGCCCAAGCCAGCCGTGCCCTCAGCAGGACCCTCAGACCTGGGTAGAGACTCAGAGCCAGTGCTGCATCCCAGGGCTGGTCCTGCCTCAGCCCCAACCTTGCTGTGTGGCCAGGCTGGGTTCCTTTGGCCCCAGAGTCCGTCTGGCTGTGAGACCTAGTCAGATGTGTGGAAGGAAGTCCATGGTCTGCAGTCTAGCCTAAGAACCCCTTCCCCTGCTTGCACTGTCCAGGGAAGGGGGGATGGGGGGGTGGAACGAGCCAGCTCTGTCCAGGAACCTGCCTGACCTGTCTAGGTGGCATTCCAGTATGCACTTTGCCAGACCTCCACAGCCTCTGTGAGTTCACAGAATGCCACAGCCACTCAGCGTGGCCGCCTGTACTCATTTCTCGGATAGGGTCTTTGGGGCTCAGAGAGAGCAGGTGTGGTAAGTCCACGGGCTCAGCCCCAGAAAGGGGGAATTGACTGAGCTAGGGCTGGGGCAGGGCGGTGGGGCCCAGCACCTCCTGAGGGTAGCCAGGTCCCTGCCCCTGGGGACATTACCTCTGCCTGGGGTCTGTGCCCTGGCTGCTCCTCCCTTGCCCAGCCTCTCTGGTGGGGCCACAGCAAGTCAGGCTGTCGGGGGCCTGGGGCAGGTACCTCCAGCCTCCTGGGCTCTGCACACCAGTGACCAGCACTTAGAGTCCAGAAGAGAGAGTTCAAACAAGGGGGGAGTGTGGGAGGGACGGGCCTGGTGATGAAAGGGCATCAGAGAGTGTAGCTGCCTAACCCCCACCCCCACCCCGCTCTGTGGTGGCTGAGTCACTGGGGACCCAGCCAGCCTCATTCTCGCCTGGTCTTGGCCTTGCTGACAGATGCAGAGCAAGGCTCTGCCCCAGCCTCCTGCATTCAGCCCTCACTGAGTGAGGTCAGGGTGAGTGCAGCTGCCCAGGCAGAGGAAGAGGACGGGAGAGCTGGGAGGCTCCCAGTCTTGCCACAGGTATACCCAGGCAGCCTTCAGGGCTAAGAGAGAGAAGGCATGGTCATTCCTACTATCCCTGGCAGCCTGGCCGGAGGTGGGCAGATCACCCACAGGCATCCTCTGGTTTGGTTCTTCCTCCTATCAGCTCCCTTTGTCGGCTTCACTTTCAGGATGAAGGGACAGAGGTTAGAGGAGGGGAAATGACTTGCTTAAGGTCTCATGGTGAGAGAATAGCAGGCCTGGAACTGGGACTCTGCCTATGCAGTCCTCTTGGCTTGGACAGGGGGCACAGATGGCCACTGGATTGGTGAGGCTTGTCCCATGCGTCTGAGAGTCTGGCTTCTCTGTGTTCTCAGCATGGGGGGTGCCTCTGGGCCATGGTGAGTTCCCAGCACTCTCAGAGACCCTCTAGTCCTTACCCCATGGCCCTCACCCTGCCACCTACCCCTGGCACAGCTGGCATAGCTCCCCAGAGTATCCTCACCTGTTCGGCCATCTGAGCCAAGAAGGCAGGTGAGCTAGACCAGGATGCGATTCAGTGGGCAAACCAGGCAAGTCACCTAATTGGCCTGGGCCTCCGGGCTTGTCTCTTCCCCAAACCCCGATAAGGTCAGAGCCAGGGGGAGGGTGCCAGCCAGGTGTTGGTGCTTGCCCAGATCAAAGGACCAGGGCTGAGAGCTGGGTTCTTTCCTTGCTTATTTATGGGCACCAGGGGCTGCTAGGCCAGGAGAAGGGTGGGGTGGCTGAGGGTTAGGCCTAGGCCCATCCCTTCTATTTCCCCTTGGGACCTGAGCATGAGAGCTGGCTTGGGAAGAACCTACTTTTGGCAGCCCCCTTGAAGATTGTGGCCAGCTCAGGGCTGGCCACCAAGTCTCCTGTAGCAGCCATAGCTCAGCCTCTGTGAAGCCCACAGCAGAATTATTGGTCTTAAGTCCTGATGGTTTGGGAAATCAGGAGCCCCCACAGCCTACACCTAAAGGTCCAGATGCTGCTGAATCTGTGCTGGGCAGGCCCTGTGCTGGGCCGCGGACTCTCCCTGTACGCAGGTAGATTCCTTCTATCAATGGGAACAGAAAATGTATCCAGTCACCATCCAGCACAGGGGGTAGTGGGGAGCCTGTGGGGTATGGCAGCGAATGTGCACCCAGCTCTGCCTGGTGGCAGGCAGAGAGAACTTCCCTGAGGAGGGGACATTTGAGTGGGGCTTTGAAGGATGTGTTCAAGTTTGTTCAAGGGAAAGGACTTCCAGTTTTTCAAATTGAGTAGATGTCAGAAGCTTTCCTTCTTCCTCCAAGCTGGATAAAATATGCCAAGAAAGTATTTAAATGACAGAGCTGAGCTTGAAAGCTGAAGCTAGCAGGGAAATTTCCAGGAGTCAGTAGCAAAGAATTGAATCCAAAAACAGGACTAGGGGCTGGTATTGAAGCCAAGTGATGCAGAGTGTCTGGGGACCAGTATGTGTCTTAGAAGCTTGTTACAGTATTTTTAATGTAAACATTCCTGTGATGAAAACATTCTGAATATGCATAAAAAGTAGAGAGAATAGTACAAGGAATCTCCAAATAGCCGCTACCCAGATTCATGAAAGTATCACCAGTCTGGCCCAGTTTCTAGGCTCCAGAAAGGATTTCTTTCCTCTGAGGATCGGGCAGTACAGGTCTGGTTTCAGGGTTGCACGGGTAACTCAGTCTCCACCCAGAGCCCAGAGCAAGCTCCCTGATCTCAAACTGTGCTCTCAGGCTAACGGTCAGTTTTCCATCTGTGAAAGGCTTTGGCTTTATGCAGAGAGCCTAGTCCAGCCTCTGCTCCGTACGCGCCTTGGACTTCTACCCCCTTCCCCATGTAGGCCTTATGTTTCCAGGGACTCTAGCAGAGGCAAATCAAAAACTGTCTTGGGGCAGTAGGGAGCCAGAGAAGTTTTCAGAGCAGAGCAGGTCCCTGTAGGATGTGTGCTTCAGGAGGTTCACTCTGGCTAAGTGTGGGAACAGATGAGAATGGATGGCAGAGGAGCTGAAGGCAACACAGGGCTGGGGTTCAGGAAGTGCCAGGATGGGGGAAGAGGGTGGGGGAGAGTGGGTTCAGAGGAAGGGCCAGCTCAGACCGAAACCAGACAGCGCCTCTGCTTTGGAGCACAGTCTTCTGGCCTTGCTCCCCTCCCTACTTTGGCCAGCCTAGCAACATCCTCCCACTTTGGCAAAGACCTGCTTTCTGAAGGCACAGCTGCAGCTCCTGTGGCTATCTCCCCAGGCCCTCCTGTCCAGAGGGAGGCCCAGGAACCTCTCTCCCTGAGGTCTGGGGGGCCCACCCAGGGCTTATATCCTGAGCTGGGTATGAAGGAGGGTGGTTCCCATTCTCCTCGCAGGAAGTCTGAGCGTGGTGGGCCTTCAGGCACCATCAGGGCCAGGTGGTCCTGGGTCCTTGCCATTGTCTTGGCTGGCCTGGGCTTCCATCCTCACATCCTGTGGGCAGGGAGGGTACTCAGACAGAGCCTGACCCCTGCCCATCCCATGGGCCTGCCTGAGCAGCCTGGCTGCCCACAGGATGTGGAAGATGGCAAGTCGTCTCTAAATAACAAGCCGACCGGATCTGGACTTTGTAAAAATAGCTTTGGTTCATTCAGCCCTGGCCAAGGTGGGGGCTGGACATGGGCTCCAAGGCCACAGTGTGGGAGCTCAGGACTCCCCCTGCTCAGACCTCACCCACTTCTGTTCCAGGACCACTTTCTGGGGTCAAACAGGGCCACGTGTGCACTTAGGGTGGCTCAGCAGCCCATGGGCAGGGGGCCTGGGGCTGCCTGCGAGGACACAGAGCCCTTCTTGGGGGTTGTTCTGAGCGTCTGGGTGCTGGCCGCTCTGTGGGCCCATAGGGGAAAAGGCCTTCAGCTGGTGCGCTGAGCTCTGGGCCTGCCCTGAGAGGTGATGAATGTTGTCCAAGCCCTCTCTTGCTGATGACCCCTCACCTGCCCCGTGAGGAGGGGACGTTGCCCATCCTACAGAGGACGGGTGAGGCTCAGGCCGAGGCTCTCCTGGTGAGCCAGGGACTCTGACTCCTCCCGCCCCGCTGTCTGTGGCCCTGCCCCCCTCTACCCTGGCTCCGGGGCCGGAGGCTCCATTGTCCCAGACCTGTGGGCTCAGCACACGTGAGCTGAGCTAGGGCTTCCCTCTACACCGACCACAGGATATCCTCGTGTGGGAACTGCTGGGAAAGCCACCTTGTGGAGTTCGGGGTGGGGTGGCCAGGCTGCCCAGAAAGCTCTCTTCAAACAAACACCACAGGGTTGAGCCCGGGAATCTTCTAGCTTGGCTGGTCTTTATTTTCAGCAGAGATGCCTGCTGGCCAGATAAGCCCCGTCTAGGACAAAGTTGCCATGTCCAGGCCTCTGACTGTGCTGTTCCTTCTTCCAGGAACATTTTACCTCCCTTCCCTACCCTTATTGTGCTCAGGTCCCTCGCGGGCTATGACATCCCTGACAGTGTCCTCTCTCATCTGCCTGGAGCAGAGGGGAGCACTGCAAAGATGGATGGCATCTCCCTCCTGACCTGGACTTCCTGTCCCCATGGGGAAGCTCTGAGGGACAAGGGAGGCCAGGGTCAGAAGGGTCACTGTGTCATCTTGGGCAAGTTCCTCCGCCTCTCATGGCCCCTGCTATGAAATGGGACAGACATGGTGAAGCTTGGGTTGGTGGTTGGTGACCTTCAGCTGGCTGGGACCGGCGTGGGGTGGGGACAGGGATGCCTGCTCTGACAGGAGCCCTGGGGACCTGTGCCCACCCAGAGGAGTGAGTGGGAAGCCAGGTGTGAAACAGCCAGGAGGGGCTGCCTTCCTGATCTGCTTCGGTCAGGCAGGGGGAGACGGCCCGGGTTTGGCCAAGGCCTGGCTCACCTCCTTTGGTCCTTCAGCGGGGGCTTTTCTAGTGCACTCCCTTACAGGGAGAGAGCAGAACATGCTGTGGTTCTTTGCCCTCTTAACTAAATGCCCAAACCTGGTCTGGTATTTAGGGCCTGGTCTCCCTCAGCCTCCTCAGTAGCCTTCCATGCTGCAGTCTGACTCGTCTCCTCGCTGTCCCCAGCACACCCTGAACTTCCTCTGACCTTGGGGTCATCAGCTGGACCTTCCCCCTTCCCAGCCTGGGCAGCCTGTAGTGTGATTTAGAGCAAGGACTCTCAGGTCAGACAAACTGGGGCTTAAATTCCGGCTTAGCCACACGCTAGCTATGTGACGTCACTCCTTTTAGCCTCTGTTGTCTCCTCTGTGAGACAGAAAATAGTAAGAGTCCAATGAGAACCTGTGCATCTGTCCAGGAAACATCCTTGCCTATAATAAGTGTTCCATTTATAATAACTGAGGTTATTATTAACAGTAAGCATTATGCCTCCTCAGCCATTATGCAGCATTGTTAAGATTTGTAATTTGTAGTTTAGTATATATTCTTGACTTTAAGTATTATCATCATGGTAGACTCCTATACATCCTTCAATGCCCAGCTCTGACATCACAACCACCATGAAATCTCCCTTCATGATCCTGGCAGGAGTTTGTCTTCTTTGCTGTTTCCCTGGCATTTTAGCCATTTAAAATGAGCCATCTGTGAATGGGGTCTGCTCCCTGGCCAAACAGGGGCAACTCTTACTCTGATTCTTTCTGCCCACTCCCCACCTAGCACAGATAGGCACAGAGGGGAAAGTTCTACCCCCTCACCCTAAAATATGAGACCAAAATCTTTTTTCTATCCCTATCCTGGTCTGATCTCAGGCAGGTCCTGGGAGGCAGGCCCAGGAGGAAAAATTCTTTTTCTAGATATGAGGAAATAATTTCTGCTTTGACTAATCTAAACAAGGGCTAGTGTTGACCAAGGCTGGCCCACTCTGAGCAGGGCGTGGCACTAAGCACCTTACTGCGTTATCTCTCTCATCCAGCACTCAGAGCCACCGGGGAGTTGCTATATTTATCTTCCTTTTGCAGATGAGGAAGTTGACATGCTGGAGCTGGCTTAGAATGGCTCATGAGAGTCAATTGTTAAATTTTCAGGAATCGTGTGAGCTGGTTGTTAAACACAACCGTGATTAAAAACTAAATGATGTAAACTGACAGTTAAACAATTTACATTAAAAACAAAAGTAATACTCAAAATTCATCACTCCCCAATTATTTTACTGCATTTTACTATTATCTATGTTCTTAAGGTTATTTCTGTCTGTTGTATCTGTATGGCAGAAATACTGTAGATGCAGCTAGTGTGTGATTGTACATTTCTTCCCCACTCTGTCAGTGACATCATGTTGGTAGTTTGAAATCAACTGGTCATTTCAATGGTGGGAGTATTTACACCATGAAAATTGGCAAACACTATACATCAGGGCGCCCCCTTCCCAACACTGCTTTTTCAGTGAGCCAGTTGTTAAACATTTATCAGTACACTGCTGAATTGAGGCACACAGAGACTGTGACCTGTTCAAGGTCACCCAGCTTGGAGGAAATAGGGCAGTGTGTGTCCCAGGTGCCCAAATTTCTGCACCTCTATGCCGATTGCATCTGAGGCTCCAGTCATGCAGAGGTGGGCCCCCACATCCCTGCATGCTCCCCGGCCTGCTCACTAGGGTAAGAGAGAAGCTGTCATACTCCTCTAGCCCAAACCTCTCCCTTTGTTTGCCTCCTTCCCTCCTTCCTTCTTCTCCCTCTCTCTCTCCTTCCAGTCCCACCTCCTGGGAGAATCAGGTCTGTGAGAGAGCAGCCAGCCCACATGCACATTTGGCTTGGGTCAGAGGCCGGCCAACTGGCCACCTTGTCTGCCCACCCCCGGCCTTTGTCTGGCCATCTGCCTGTCAGCTGTGGGAGGAGTGGGCTGTCTCCCTGCGTGACCGAGTGCCTTCCCTGCCTTGCTGGGCCTCTTTGTCCCACCTGGGACCTCCAAGGCCCTTCCCATTGCTGGCAGTGGCATCCCCACAGAGTCCTCCAAGGCTCTGCTGCTGTCTTGTTCTAGAAGGACAAAATCAGGTCATATCACTGCTCTGCTCAGCATCCCCCAGTGCTTTGCTTTCTCACCTGGAGAAGCCTGTGTCATCACATGGGCCGCAAGGCCCTACCTCATCTGGCTCCATCTCTCTGCTCCAGTCCCTTTGGCCTCTTTGCCATTCCTCAAATCTGCTAAGCACACTCCTGCCCCAGGGCCTTTGCACTCGCTGTTCTTGCCCCAGTATTTGCATGATTTGTTTAATTACTTCCTGCAGGTCTTTGCTGAAATGCTATCCTCTCTGACCCTTCTATTTAAAATTAGAACATCTGTTTTCTCTCTCTCAGACACACATTTCCTTTCTCATTTCTGCCCTCTTACTCTCCTTAGAACCTGTCACCTTGTGACATACTGTATTTTTAATTTTATTGTCTGTTTCTCTTTAGTAGAATGAAGGCTCCAGTAGGGCAGGGATTTTTGTCTGGTTTGTTGAGTGGATGAACAGGTGGGTAAATGAATGAATGAACGACAATGTTTCCAAATGTTGAGAAATCCTCGGCAGCCTTCTGGGAGTGTGGGTGGCTGTGTGACCTGGCAGGTGTGAGACCTTGAGTTCCAAACCCGGTTCTGCCCTTGTTTACTGTGTGACCTTGGTAGGTCCCTTCCCCTATCAGAACCTCTTTTCCAAGTTTTATAAGGAGAGCAGTGTGGCAGAGTATAAGAAACACTGGCTCTGGAGTCAGACAGACAAGGGATCAAATCCCCTGGCGACATTTACTGCTAGGGGGGCCTCGGACAAGTCACACCTTCTCCCTGAGTTTGTCTCTCCTCTGTGAGAGGCAGGGTGGGGCTGGAAGGACACAGAGATGCTGGTGATGAGCCCATGGCACCACTCCTGGCACATAGAAACTGTCCAGTGAATGCATCTTTACTGTTTTGAAAGTGCCCAGAAGGCTTGCCCAAAAGGGGACCAACTGTGGACTGGGCCAAAGAGGATGGAGACAGAGACTCGCCCTAACCCAGAGGGCCTGTCCTGCTCGCCCTGGGCCCAGGCCTGGTGGGGTTGCCCTCTCTGGGCTGCCTCCTTTGTCCCTGGCCCAGGCTGCGCTTTGTCTCCCAGTGCCTGGCTGCAAGCTGGGGCGGCGTGGTGGGGGGCTCAGCCACAGGGACCCGTGCCGCCCCGCAGCTCTCCTCTCCCTGCACAGTGTTCATCTGCAGCTTCATGGTGGCTGCCCCCATCTTTGGCTACCTGGGTGACCGCTTCAACAGGAAAGTGATCCTCAGCTGCGGCATCTTCTTCTGGTCGGCGGTCACGTTCTCCAGCTCCTTCATCCCCCAGCAGGTGAGGCCTGTCTGGGCTTCCTCCCAGTGTCCCTGCACGGCCCATCCATGTGTCTGAGTCCCTCTGGTGGGTGGCTAGTCTGACTGACCTGTCCCAGTCCAGACTGAAGGTTGTGGCCCCTGTGCTTGAACCCCAGACTGTGACTTCCAGTGTAGGTGACAGCCCTGCAGAGAGAGCCTTCCCATGCTGGCCAGAACCAAGGAGTTTGCAGCTCTGTGTGGCATCCTCTTTCTGAGATGCCTCTGATTTGGGGAAGATGCAAGGAACAGGGGGAACTAGTCTGGCCTTTGGTTCAAGTCCTGGCTCTGCCATCATCTTGCTGTGTGATCCTTGGTGCATCACTATCCCTCTCTGGGCCTCACACAGTTTGCTGTTGGTCCAATGACCCACTAACTCCTTGGGTCAAAGTCCTAGGGAAGCAAACATCACTTCAACATAGGGAATATATTTCTTACTAGGCTCCCACAGTTCTGGATTTGAGTGTCTTAACTCTTGTTGCCTTGAGATCTGGAGAAACTGAGTTAACCTCTCTGAGCCTCAGTTTCTTCATCTTTAAAATGGGGATAATACTCCTTAGCTTGAAGGTTTATTGTGAGAAATAACTGAGCTAATGAGTGCCCAGACCCTGGGACATGGCAGATGTTCAAGAGATCATTATTTCTATTCTTTCTTCCAAAAAGGGGATATGTTGCTTTGAGATGCAGTGGGGTTCCCATCATTGAGGGTGTTCAAGTGTGGGAGAAGGATGGCTACTGTTGAGGGAGATAGAGGATGAAGGGGAAGAAACCAGGATCTATATTCAAGGAACTTTCAGCCTGGGGGACAAAGGAGGAGACCCCAGTCCTGTCCCTGGGAATAGCCAGACTGGGGTGGAAAGATGTGACAGCAGCTGTTATGTTCAGAGTCCTTAAGATGTGCCAAGTGTTAAGAGTCATCACTGAAGAGAGAGCAGTGTCTGGAATCCATGGAGTCAGAGAAGGATGCCTAGACAGGTGGCATTTGAGCTGGGCAGGCAGGACAGGACGATTAGGCCTTTTAGTGAAGACAGCATGTGCAGAGGAAGCAAGTCCAGGAATACAGAAATGGTGGAGTGTGTTGAGAGCTCGAGGAGGCAGGGACCAGGTCCTGGAGAGCCTCGGATACCAAGTCAGAGGGCCTGGGCTTCCTCCCACGTCCTCTGCAGTGCTGGGCCCTGCAAGCATCTGAAGAAGGGCACTGGCAAGTCAGATTTACATGGATGGAGTGGGTGTTTGAGGCGAGGGTGGAGAGAATTAGCAGGTTTCGGGGCACAGCTTTACTTTACAGAGGAGGGTCAGGCCCAAGTACGTTCCAGGCGTGGAGTGTCAGGTAGAGCCTGATGGTCACAGTCAAAAATGGGGCCTGGACCAGAAGCTTTTAGGGCCTTTCTGGGCCTTGTCCTGCCCCTGGCCAGGCTCCTGGCCTTCTGACTTCTGGGGCTACTTCTGGGATTGACCAGTGAGGCCAGTACCACGATGCCAGTGCTGAGCCCTGCTGGGCGTGTGGATGGGAGGGAGGGTTGCAGAGGCAGAGAAAAACAGATCACCCCAATTAATCTATAAATTCATTGCACTCACAATCGGAGTCCCACGGGGGTTTTTGGTGGACCTTGGCAATGTGATTCTGAAGTTAATTTGGCAGAGAAAATGCCCAGGAACAGCCAAGAACATTGTGAAAAATAACAGTGAAAGGGGTTGGTCCTACTGGTTATCACAGTACAGCTGTTCTAACTACAATAGCAGAGACAGAGACAAAGAAAGCAGAAACACACTGTCCTCCTACCTATGGGAATTGAGTGTAGGATGAAAGTTGCATCTCAAATGGGTCTGAGAGAACGGACTATCCATCTGGATGGAAACTAAAGTTTGGTCTGTATTTCAAACATACCTCCGAATAAATTCCAGACAGGTGAAAGTAAAGTAAAATGCCAACTATACAAATCTAGAGCTATAAATCAGCAAGAAAAAGACAAATAATCCAGTAGGAAAATCAGCCAAGGGTAATGACAAGCCATTCCAGGAGAAGATACCTAAATGGGCAATAGATGCAGGAAAATATGGTACTCTCTCTCCAGTAATCAGGGAAATGCAAATTAAAACAACAATGAGGTACCATTTCACACTCATCAGATTGGCAACAATTAAAAAGGCTGACAATACCAAGTGTTATTAAAGCTGCTGGTGGGAGTGTAAATTGATAGAGCCTCTTTGGAGAGCAAAATGGAAGGATTGCCTAAAAATCTAACTGTGGGCATCCCACGGCTCCGCCTTCTGCTTTGAGGTATATTCCCAAGAGAGAAACTCCAGCACATGGACACCAAGTGACCCATACGCAAGGATGTTTGTTGCCATCTCATAATAGAAAAAAAAGGGAAGCAGTCTGAACGAACATGACTGGGGGATGCCCACATATAATGGGGCATGTTCATATGGTAAGACCCTTGACAGTGAGAGACAGAAGTAGATCGATACTCACTAGCATAAATGGGTTTCCCAAAGGTAAGAATAGAGGGAAAAGCAAGTTGCAAGACAAGATACACAGGATGTTCCCTTTTTTTGTTCATTGTTTAAAAGCACACGGGAGACATTAAGTGTTGTTCATTGGTACAGATACGTGTAAGCAAAGGTGTGGATTCATAACAAAAACAATACAGCGGGTTCCTGGGGGAGTCCACAGGATGCCTTGCCAAAGAGGTCTTTCTGCTTGCTCTCGGACTGAAGAGAATGAGGAAATCCCTCCTATTCTCTTTCTCTTTCAAACATAACAAACATAAAATATTAGAATATTATTATCATTTTGAGTTGGAGTAGGCCTTGCTGAGCAGGATGTAAAATACAGAAGCCATTAAAAGAGAATCAACAGATCAGACAGCATCAAACCTAACAATGCAAAATAAAGTCTCTGTAGGGCAAAATTCCCCACAAACTGAGTGGGAAGAAAGATGATGGAAATTATTTTTCAAAAGAGAGATGCTGGCCGGCTGGGTGGGTGGGTGGGTGGCAGGGTGGCCTGCCTTGTAAGTTAGAGAGCAGCATAGCTAATAAAGGATCAATAGCCATGATATATAAAAAGCTAATAGAAATCAATACAAGAATGACAGCCCAATAGAAAAATAGGCCAAGGCTGTGGGCAGGCAATTCCAGGAAAAGCAGCAGAGGCACAGAGCTAGGGGAAGAAGGAGATGGAGAGAGTGACGGGAGGCACAGAGGTGGATGGGCCGGTCCAGGGACGCGAGGGAGGGCAGTAAAGAGATGGGCCGGTGGAGAGAGGGAAATAGCAACTGGAGGCGGGCCGGATGGGTGGCCAGGGTGGGGCCGGGGAAAGATGACCAGGCCGGGTTCTCAGGCCCTGGGCAGCTGGGGGGGCATGGAGGGCTGGGTCCACATCAAAGGGGCAATACCATTGACAGCTGGCATGGCCCCACCCTTCCCAGTTTGGCTGGGCTTTGCTTTTTAATGTGTGTGAGGGGGAGGGGCACCGAGCCTACTAGGCTGCCCTGCCCAGTCCCCACTTACACTGGGTCTTTAGAGCTGTCAGGATCAGCCCAGCTGCACTGTCTGGGGTGGGACACAGAGCTGGGGGTGACTTGAGGCTCCCAAGGTGTGGCCAGAACCCAAGTGGGGGAGGCAGTAGAGACAGGCTTATACCCCCCATGCCTAAAGGGACAGAAGGAGTCTGTCTGGGTCATACAGCTCTCAACCAGTGAAAGTCCACTCCCATTCCAGCACTGTGTGCAGTCCGACCTGCTATACAAGCAGGGGAAACTGAGGTCCGGACTGGCCTAGGGGTGTACTCATTGCTGAGAGAGTGGTTCCTGGACCCTGCAGGGGGTGGGGAGCACAGTGGAGACCAAGGATGAGCAGGCAGAGGAGCAGGATGGTCCCCCAGCATTCTCTGCCCTTCCCCCACAGCACTTCTGGCTACTGGTCCTGTCTCGGGGACTGGTGGGCATCGGGGAGGCCAGCTACTCCACCATTGCGCCCACCATCATAGGCGACCTCTTTACCAAGAACACGCGCACTCTCATGCTGTCTGTCTTCTACTTTGCCATCCCGCTGGGCAGGTGAGGATCCAGGCAAGGTCTGCTCGGACTTGTGACCACTTCCTCCCTGAGGTTCCATGTGACCTCAACATGCCAACGGTCAGCCTTGGAGAGATGCTGGCCGGCTGGGTGGGTGGGTGGGTGGGTGGCAGTGTGGCCTGCCTTGTAAGTTAGAGAGCAGGTCGCAGCCCTGGCCCATCCCTGCCTGACTGTGTCTTGTTTGCAGTGGCCTGGGGTACATCACTGGCTCCAGCGTGAAGCAGGCAGCTGGAGACTGGCACTGGGCCTTGCGGGTAAGGAAACCCCCAGACCAGCCCTTGCCTAGAGCTACCCAGAGATTCAGGGGCAGTGCCCAAGTCAGGACACAGGCATCGGCCTCCAACCTCCTCCCTCGAGGGACTGGCCTCCTCCAGGTTAACCCACAGTGGGGTGTTGGGGAGCCCAGATGTGAGGGGAGCCAGACTCAGCCCTGCCACCCTCAGGGGCCTCCAGTCGAGAGGACAAAGACCTCTCCCACCATTTCAGGATATTCCAGGACCACGATGGCACTTCCTGCCTTGAACATTGGCACTGTGTTAGGGTAAGGCTGAGACAAGACCTCTGTGGGTCCCTGGGGTCTGGAGCCACTTCCTGCCCCAAGGAGGGATTCGGGGCAAGCCTGCCAAGGCCCCAGTACAGTGCAATCAGAGGAAACAGAGACCCCCAGTCTGGCGGAGGAGCGGAAGCTTAAGACAAAGTGTTTTTTCCTCAAAAGCAGGAAGGAAGCAGCCTCCGTGGAATTTCTTGATGGGAGCAAGAGGAGAGGAAGTCCCCAGCCTGTGGCTGCCAGGCCTGGTGGGGGTGGGGACATTTTCCTGTTCTCATGGGCTGCTGGGATAGTTGGGATCTTGGAATCGAGGCCGCCAAGATGTCCCCCTCCCATCTGGAGAGCAGCCTGGGGCCTGGGAGATTCTGATCTTGAACACTGGGCTGGACACAGGGAAGACTGAAGGAGCCCTGAGCCTCTGTTCTCCTGGGGCGCACATGGCCTCCTCCCAAATGATAACCTACTTGATCTAGTACTGAAGCATCATGCCCAGCCAGTCCCTTCCCAGGGCCCCCCAGTGGAGGAGTCAGCCTGAGGACCCCCCCAGGCTCAGGTGGACAGGGCTGGCTGGCTTCTGGCTCCCTGTCCCCAGTTGGCATCCATATGTCTGCCCATCTACTTGTCTTCCTTTCTTTCCTTCCCTCATCCATTCACCTTCCTGCTTTTCCATCCATCCATCATCCATCCATCCATCCATCATCCATCATCCATCCATCCATCCATCCATCCATCATCCATCATCCATCATCCATCCATCCATCCATCCATCCATCCATCCATCCATCCATCCATCCATCCATCCATTCTGTCCATCTTTCCACCTCTCCAGCCATCTGTCCTCCCTCCACCATCCATCCACCCATTCCTCCCTTCTTCTTTTAGTGCCCCTCCCTACCTGCCCCTGGTCTGGGTAGTTCATCTTGAGCCCCTGCGCCCTTTGGCTGACCTCATCCCCAGTAGCTTGGCTCAGCATCCTGGTCAGGAAGCCTGGCAGATCTGGAGAAGGACCCCAGAGCCTGTGCTCTACTCCCGATGAAGCAGAGACAAGCCAGCTGAGCCCTGGTGTCCTCACTCAGTGCTTCCTGCCCTGCCAGGTGTCCCCCATCATGGGCATTGTCACAGGAACGCTCATCCTCTACCTGGTCCCTGTCACCAAGAGGGGCCCTGCCGACCAGCTTGGGGGGCAGTTCAAGGCACGGACCTCATGGCTCCGAGACATGAAGGCCCTGATCCGCAAGTGAGTGCTGCTGGGAGGGGTCTGGTGGAAGAGGGAGGGGCACCCAGACGCGATGACTCTCCCCGCAGGGTGGCCCTCCATCATGCTCCCTGTCGTTTCTGCTGCCCGTGGTCCTGGGAGTGACATTTTGGCCACTAGTGTCTATTATTCCTGCAGCTTCTGAGGACCCAGAAGCCACCTGGGCCAGCTGTGGGCATCCGGGCCCTGCTCAGTGTTGCTGTGCTTGCCTCTTCTCAGCCGCAGCTACGTCTTCTCCTCCCTGGCCACGTCGGCTGTGTCCTTCGCCACAGGGGCCCTGGGGATGTGGATCCCGCTCTACCTGTACCGCGCCCAAGTTGTGCAGAAGACAGCAGAGACATGCAGCAGCCCACCCTGTGGGGCCAAGGACAGGTGGGGCCGGGCCAGAGGCTGGCAGGCAGTGGGGTGGTGGGGGTCGCTGGGTAGGAGCACCAGCCCTTCTGCCCCAGCCTCGCCCGCCTCCAACCTGGGCCCCACCGTGCTCTGTCCCCACAGCCTCATCTTTGGGGCCATCACCTGCTTTACTGGCTTTCTGGGTGTAGTCATCGGGGCAGGAGCCACACGCTGGTGCCGCCTGCGGACGCAGCGGGCCGACCCGCTGGTGTGCGCCGTGGGCATGCTGGGCTCTGCCATCTTCATCTGCCTCATCTTTGTGGCCGCCAAGAGCAGCATCGTGGGGGCCTATGTAAGTGCGGGGATAGGGGGAGGGCCAGATCTGGGACAGGAAATGTAGTTTGTGGGGGGCCTCCCTCCCCATGAGGAGGCGCCTGTCCTCTGCCTGCCTGCCTGCCTCTGCTCTGTCCAGGGCTCTGGGTGCCTTTCAGGGCTGTGGGTACGGCCTGAAGTCTGCAGATAGTCTGTAGATACTCCACAGATTCCTCCCGAGCCTGACTGACCGCCAGGAGATGCAGGCCCCAGGGAGGGGTAGGAGGCCTCGGGCTGCTTGCTGCCAGCAGCCTGGGTGCAGAGAGCAGCCTGGCCATGGATGGTGGGTGCAGGGCCCACTGATGGTTGCTCGGGTCTTTCCTTGCAGATCTGCATCTTTGTTGGGGAGACGCTGCTCTTTTCTAACTGGGCCATCACTGCGGATATCCTCATGGTGAGGCAGGCCAAGGTTGCCTCGTGCTGACCCAGGCCTCTTGACTTATCGGGGCCATCGGGGAGGGTGGGTGTGGGGTGGGAGAACTGGTAGGGCTTGTGGGGTTGGGTGGAAAGGTGGGCACGCCGGGAAAGTCAACGTGAAGGCAGAGGGGGGATCAGAGATTTTGTAGTCTGCATGTGGCCTGAAATTAGAGGGTTAAGCAAGCCAAAGGGACGGAAATGGGCCTGGGTGGGGAGAAGGACGTCTGGAGGCTTGGGTCTGTGGTTGGGAGGCTGGCAGTGTCAGGCTGGCACCGAGGTGGTGCCTGCCAGTGCTCCTCCCCCAGGGTTAAGCTCCTTGGGCTCTGCCCTCTCAGCCCGGCCCGGGGCCGGGTGCGCCTGCCTGACAGCCTGTGGCTGGGGCCGGGTGGACAGAGCCTGTCTTGACAGGGCCAACAATGGGTTCCAGACCAGCCAGCTGGGGACAAAGGGCTGTCTGAGCGGTAGGGTCTGTGTCCCTGGGTGGGGACAGGGGCAGCCTGGGTGGAACCCGGAGGGGGCTGTGCCCTGGTGACTCACAGCAGTCTTAGGGATGGTAGGGGATGTGTGAGGGGGGCAGGGTGACACCAGGTCCTGTCCTTAGGGATCCTCCAAATCCAGAACAGGAGAGGACTGGGAGAAGGGAGTGCAGGGAACAGGAGGAGGTGGGGAGAGTGTCCAAGGGCAGGCCCTGGGGGCAGAGGGAGGAAGTGCTCCCCCTGAGTCAACCCTTAGGGCACTTGGTGTTTGGTGCCATAATATGGGACAGCCCAGGAGATCTGAGTGTCGGGCCCCTGCCAGCTCCCCTCCTCCAGGAAGCCTGCTGTTGCCCACGAGAGCTTCCCTCCACATCTGCCTCACTGGGGGCTGTCTCTCTCCCCTCCCCAGTCTGTGGCGGTGGGGTGGGGGGAGGTCTGTGCCTCAGCATGGAGCCAAGTGGGGTGGCAGGGCTGGGCAGGGTCACCATGCTGAGGGGAGGGAGGAGTCTGTCTGAATCAAGTTGGTGGGCAGGACTCCATCCCTGCTTCTGCCCCCAAGGGGCAGCCCCAGCTGCTGACAGGGTTTAGGTCCCAGGGAAATCATGTCCCATTTTATTAAGTGTCACAGCCATTTAACTAATTATTCCTGGAAATTGGGCCATGCAGTCCCATTGGATCCAGGTCTCCCCCTATCCTGTTCTGTAATGGGGTGCCCAGTGGGCACTGGCTGCTCTCACACACTCTCTGCGAAGGCTGGTGCTCTGACAAGATGAGGGAGCTGGAGCTTAGAGACAGGGGCTGCCCAGGGGCACCCACTGAGCTGTCTGCTGCCTGTTCTGCTGTTTCTCTGCTGACCTTGGCTGCCCATCTTTGGAGATGCAGCTCCTGTGGGTCAGGGCCTGCTTGGTCTGATGGGGCTTCCTGGGGTCCAGCAGCTCCTGGCATTGGGTGCTGAGGTGCCCATAGGTAAAAGTGGACTTTACTCCAGGCAGGGTCCTGCACCCTGCCATCTCCCACCACAGGCCAACCTAGGCCTTGACAGGTCCTTGTGGAAGTGGAACCAGGGTGGGTCTTTAGCCTATGGGGAGGTGAAAGCAAGAGGCTGAGAGGCCAGAGTTCTGGTCCCAGCACTGCCTGACTCCACGTGCCTGATCTGTGTGCCTCTGGGCCTGTTTCCTGTGACCATGGTTCTTGGCCCCCCACCAAAAGCCAAGTGCAGAATCTAAAGTAGCCTAGTCGCATGAGCTGGAGAACCGAGTGCCCAGCTTCAGGAGAGGGCAGGGAGGAGGAATGTGCCCAGGTATCAAGTCACTAGGGCAGCCCTGGGTCTGAGGCTGCGGGGGCTTCTGAAGTGCCACTGGCTCCTTTGGCTTCGGCTTCTGACTGGCCGCCTCTCCTGCAGTACGTGGTCATCCCCACGAGGCGGGCCACCGCTGTAGCCCTGCAGAGCTTCACCTCGCACCTGCTGGGGGACGCTGGAAGCCCCTACCTCATTGGCTTCGTGAGTGCTTCAGGGGCTGAAGGCCCAGGCGGGTGGTGGGCCTCGAGAGGTGGGCCTGTGCTGAGGTGCACTCTCCAACCCTCACAGATCTCCGACTTGATCCGCCAGAGCACCAAGGACTCCCCGCTCTGGGAGTTCCTGAGTCTGGGCTACGCCCTCATGCTCTGCCCCTTCGTCGTGGTCCTGGGGGGCATGTTCTTCCTCGCCACCGCTCTCTTCTTCCTCAGCGACCGTGCCAAGGCTGAGCAGCAGTGAGTGGGGATGGGGCGGGCCTGCAGCTGGGCTGCACAGGCCCCCGGGGTGGTTGGAGGGTGCTGTGGTGCGGGGGGGGTCCCCGGCCGATGGGGTCCTGGGCCTGGCCTCCCTGGCATCCGCCTGCCCCCGTCACACACCCAGCGTCGGTGTGGGCACTGCGGGAGGCCACGCGGCCCGAGCTCTTCCTGGTGGTTCTACATGGGGGGCTATTCCTCTGGGGTTCGTGGTTTCCAGAGCTGGGAACCCCCTCTCCTTCCTGTTCCTCTCGTTTTTCTGACTTTTCTCCTCTTCTTTACTCCTCTCTCTCTCCTCTCCCACCCCTGGGCTCTCCCACCTTCCCCTGGGCCTGACGAGGTCCCTGCCCAGCGCGTCCGGCCAGCCGGCCCCCACGATGCGATGTGCCAGAGCAGTGCCTGGGCCAGGCCCCCGCTGATCCGCCACCTTGACCCCTGCCCGTCTCTCCCCCAGGGTGAACCAGCTGGTCATGCCGCCCGCATCCATGAAAATCTGAGGCAGTGAGTGCAGGCCAGGGGTCCGGGTGGGCTCCATGGGGCATGGACAGGATGGGGTGCGTGCGAGGGAGCACTCTGGGCAGCACTTCACCCAGTGATAGAGACTACCCTGGAAGCAGCAGCTCCGAGTCACCTCCTGCCTGAGCACATCCCACCAGCCCTGGTTTTGGTCCTCTTCCTCCTGAAATGTTGCCCGAATTGACGGGTGGACCCATGGGAGGAGGGCAGGCTCCCTCTTCCAGTAAATCAGCTCCTCTTCCTTTCTCAGAAGGTCCAGGGGCATAGGTCAGGGCTGGGCCTGGCCAGGAACTCACTGCTGTTCTGGATTGTCCTCTGGAATCCTCCTTAGAGGTGCCAGGGTCCGACTCCTACTTTGACCTTCCTCTGGGCCTGGCGTCTGCAGCTTCCCAACAGTGAGAGACCCAAGGTCGCCATCCCACCAAAGACCCAGTAGACCCCACACTCCTTTCATGCCCCAGAGCTCAGAGAAAGGACTTTGTTCAAACAGCAAAGAAAATGAAGGGAGGGCAGCTCTCCAAGGGCCCCTCCCAACGCTCCACCTCTGACTTCAGACCCCTTCTCTCCCTCCCTCCAGGTGCCGCTGGGACAGTGAAGAATCCACACTCTCACCCAGTTTGGGAGGTGTCCCACGGTATCCTGGCCCTGCTGGGCTGGCCCGAAGCTTTCTGTGTGACCCACGGCTGGGCACACACTCTCTTTGGTCTGGGACTGATGAGTGGCTGTGGCTTCAAGAAGAGGCTGTGTCCTCAACTAACTTGCAAGGCTGTGTGTGCTGGAGCCACATGGTTGGACTGACTACCAGCCCTAGATTTGGGCTGCAGGGCCCCTGGGTCTCAGGGAGAAGACAGCCCTCAGTGAGTGTGTGGGGAGAGCCTGGCCCGTCACCAGCTTGTGTGCTCCTGGGTAAGTCCCTGCCCTCCCCAGACCGTGGGGCCAGGGGGCTGGACTTTCCCACACAGCTTGTTGGGCAAGGCACTATCCACAGCTCTGGAGATCCAACAATTCCTGGACTGCACAGAAGGGAAGAGGTGGCCCAGGCCTCAGGGCGGCACTCCAGGCTCTGAGGCTCCCTGAAGGGCCTGGTGTGTGGGGACCACAGCCTTTCGGCTGGGCCTCCAACCTTGGGCATGCTGAACTCAATTTTGGAGAGCCAGGCACCCAGGTGGATGGTCACACTGGAGGACACTTCTGCTGCTTTGGGCTGGCCTCAGCCTGGATGTTTCCTGTTCAGGGATCATCCCGATAGGGAGCTGGCATCACCAGGGGTGAAGGCCCTGGTGGCAGCCACACACTACCTGTGCCCGCGGCTTGAGCAATTTGGGGGTCACCCACCCCAAGAGGGCTCCTTGCAGCCCCTGGAGCACCTCCCTGTCCAGTCCATCTCCTCAGACCCCCAGGAGCCAGGAACATACTCCTGCCCCAAGCTGGGCCATTTCCAGGGGCAGGGCCCAAAGGACTATTCCCAGAATCCATGGGGCAGTAGCCAGGGTTCTTGCTGCCAGAGGAAGCAGCCATCCACTGGCTTCCTGTCCCAGCGAATAGCTGGTGGAGGTTGAGGCCCATCGGGAGAGGCCAACACCAGAGCCACCTCTAGTCAAACATCTGCTGCTACTGCTCTCACGCACATTTCCACACAGCCCATTGCTTCCCTCAGCCTCTGACCACTTCCATACTCCCATCTGAACACACCTTGCCATCCTCAGAACCACACACCAGGGTGCAGCCATCAACTCCACGCCAGTCCCCTGGCCCCTTGTGGGGCTTATCACAGCTCCTCTGCCACCCACATTCCCTCCCTGCGCACTTGCTGTGATCAAGGTGGTTCTGGCCCAGGGGCCCCTTGAGGTCAGGAGACCTGAGCCGCCAGCTTAGACATGCTCTTTTCCCTGTAGTTGCTGGTGTGGCTTCAGTGGTGTTAAGCTAGTGAAATACCCACTCCCCACCAAGGTCTGGGGCTCCCCGAGGGGCCTAACAAGGGGTGAGACCCCTCAAAGACCACCTGGTCTCCACTCCCACCCCAGCCTCAATGGGGGCCCCAGCGATGTTTTCTTGTTGTACAAGAACCAGGTCCAAGTGTTGCATCCTCTTCCTTCCGGAAGCCAAACTGCTCCTTTATTTTTTAGAGCTGCTGATTGTGAATCTCAGAGTCTTAAGACAAAAACCAAATATATTCCTCTTGTAAATGAAGAAATAAACCTATTTAAATGATGCCCTGGTGGCTCCCACAGCAAAATAGCTGGGGGGTAGGGCGGCACAGGGAGTTGCTCCACCCATGCCCGTGTGGGTGGTCAGCACTGTACTGCGGGCACCTACCTGTGCCCACCTGGATGAACCCCAGGGCCCTGGACTTGGCCCACAATGCCTGGGAGCCAAGGCCCCAGCCCCATGAAGGCCAAGTGTGTTCTGGGCTGAGAAACAGGCCAGCCACAGAGCAGAGACGGGGCCCAGCCCAGGGCCAGGGGTCTCTGCACCCCTGGGACCACACGGGAAAGGACTCAGGTTGTGCATGCTGCAGGCCCCCTCCCAGCCCCCCACCAGAAGGTAGTACCTCAGAGAGTGGCTTGTTTATTAAAATCATGGTGAAAACAATAGGCTGTCTGTGGGGCCGGGGGGCGGGCAGGGCCTGCCTCAGGGCTTTCTCCCCTTCCTCAGCTGTGCTCTCCTCCTGCTGGCCCCACTCCGCAGGAGGCTGGGGCTCCTGGCGGCCAAAGACAATCTTGCCTTTTTGCGTGGCAGCGACTTGCCCGAGACTCCCTTTTTGGAGGGCTCCTTCAGATGCTGCTTTCTGCCAGCAGCCTCCACAGGGGACACAGGAGTAGCCCCGTTCTCCTGGGGCAGCTTCCGATTTTTCTTCTTCAGCTTTGGGGTCTTGGCAGGGGCGCTGGGGCTTGTAGTGGTGGGGGGCTCTGAGGTCAGACTCTTGGTGGCAGGCGTCCCGTTCACCGGGGACTGGGCGGGGACCTTGCTTCTGACCCTTTTCCTCTTCTTCTTGCCTGTGCTGGGGGGCTGGGCACCACTGGGGGCCTGGTTCCCGTTGGGCACTGCAGGCTTAGCAGCCTCCTCCTCAGCAGAACCCTCTAACTTGCGTTTCTTGCGCTTCTTGGTCTCAGGCAAGAATCCCTTTTTCTTCCGCTTTATGCTCATGGGGCTTGGTGTGGCACTGGGGATGTCCTTGGCATCCTTCTTCTCTGACTTGGGGCGCCTGGAAGTGAGTGAAATTAAGGAAGTGTTCACTGAGGGTAGGAGTGACCTGCACCCCTGCAGTCCTGTGAGATCCCAGCTGCCCCGAGGTCCCACAATGAGGCACACACAGCAGACCGTGTGTACTGTGGAGGTCTTTCCAGCCACTCCCCCAAGGTGTGGACCCTCCTCCCCAAACGTACTGGACACCAAGGACCCTCATGGCTTGCCAGTAGAGGTCGTAGAGGCGGCTGAACCCAGCGAAGGGCTCCCCCTGCGGCTGCCTGTGCTGCAGGTTTGACTGTTGGCTCTGCAGCACGCCCAGGATGGCGGTCAGGTCCACGGTCAGCCTCTGCAGGGGGTGGGAAGGCTGTGGCTGCAGTGGTGCAGGCCTCTCCCTGGCTCTTCGTCTCCAGCCCCACTGCCCAGTTACTACCTCTCCAGTGACTCCCACTCGCTCTTTTGGACGCTCACCTACCCCTGCCTAAAAGCCTCTCTCTCACCTTGGGAGGGAAAAAGAGCCCCAGATGCCATGTCCACTCCCTCCTTCCACAGCCAGAAGGCCCGAATGCCAATTCCTCACTTCCCACCTTGGCCTCCCCTCAGTGGCTCTGGCTACCCACCGCTGAGGGCACTGAACAATGACCTCAGGGCTGACAAATTCGTCTTCCCACCTCACTCTCCCTGCTGCATACTGAATGGGTTATTTCCAGAACACCCCTCTCCTGGCTTTTTATTACCTCTCTGAACTCTGCTTCTCAGGCCCGCCTACTCTTCTACAGGCCCTAGTCCAGACCCCATCCCCTCCCCTCCAGCACCCTCTTAGCAAGCTTGCCCCACACGCCCAGTGTCCATGCTAAGGACTCCCAGACCTTTCCCTCTATGTCAGACTCAGGGGAATCCACCCTCCGCCAAAGCTGCCTCCCAACACCCACCCTAATACCCATGAGCATCTCACACTCCACACACCCCAGCTCTCCAGGCATGGAAACCTGGGCTCCTAGCTGCCCACCGGGTACTTCTTCACCTGTTCCCATGATCTCCAGCCCTCCCGCCCCTCCTCAGCTCTCTGGAGAGCAGTGCACACCCTCTAACCCCAACCCTGGCCAGGCATGGGCATGGCATGCCCCATCTCCTGAGGCAAGTGCCTCCATCTACTGCTCTAACCAAATGAAAACAGCCCAGACTCCCCACCCTGGCATCTACAACCTTCCCACAGAGCTCTCGCCTGCCCCCAAGCCTTTGCTCAGACTGCTTCCTCTACCTGCCAGGTGACCTCACCTCATGATTAATGATCCTGAAGAGAGCGTTGAGCAGCTCCAAGGAGGACAGCTCCTTCTGTTGCTCCGACTTGGTCTGTGCCTTGCCCAGGGCATGCAGGTTCTAGGGAGAAGGTGGCCAGGCTGAGCCACTCTGGACAGCTGCCCAGAGCCTTCCCATCTCCCATAAGGGACTAAAACTCCACGAGAAGAAATGTTTCCTGGGCAACCCCAAGACCACCCCAAGGCTCAGGGTCCCAGTCATCTCCAGCCCTGGCTCCCAGAGAACCACTCCTAATGGGGGTATGGAGGGGAACTCGTGGCTCTTACCTCAGTGACCTTTGCCAGGACCTGGCCAATCAGCTGCTCCCACTCGGGGTCCTCAAAGCACAGTCTCAGCTCACGTGTCATCAGGGCCTTCTGGAGTAGGATGCAGGCCTGGACCTGGGGGTAGGGGCCATGTGGTCACCAGGAGCCTTGGTATGCTGGGCCAAGGCTTAGAGGACCACAGGGCAGCCCCAAGGGCTCTGGAAGAATGTGGGGCCCTTAAGGTCCTGATGACTGTAGGCTGCTTTGAGTCCAACCTGCCTAGACTATCGCCACCAAAGCTGGGCCTCAGCAATCTGCCTGTCTCCTTGTAGGCATGTGGGGGAACCAAGGCCTGGGGGGCTACACGGGCTCCCAGCTGGAAAGAGGTGGCAGGCTGAGGTAGTTCCTGGTCCTCTTACTGTAGCTCAGGGCTGTCTTCCTCTAGCCTCCCCAACTCCTGTCCTCTGTGCAGGTCAGAGGAGCCGGGGGCTCAGGCCTCATGGTAAATGGCTGCCACGGGAGCAAAGCTGGCAGTCCCCCCTCTCCCCTCCCCCTCCCCGGCCAGGTCAGCACTCCTGGGCCTCACAAACACCTGGCTAGAAGTGGACCACGCAGGCAATTCAGCCTACCCAGGCTGGCATCTAGGAAGGCCTTACCTGATGGCGGGGCCGTGTCTGGCCTGTCACGTGCTGGACCACGATGGGGAGCAGGCTCTTACAGAGCGCCTAGGGAGGGAAGGACAGGGCTGTAAGGCAGGGGCTGGGCTGAGCAGAGGCCCCTAGTGGGCGGGCCAACTCCCACACTCACTGGGTGCCGGGAGAAGAGGCTGAGAAACATGGGAACGGCGAGTGGGCTGTTGCGCCTGGTCAGGAAGGAGGTCAGCGCTGATGAGTAGATCGGGGTCACAAGACTCAAATCCAAGCAGCTGGCAGCCTAGGCCACATGAGAGACTTGGTGTGATGCCAGGGAGAGGGGTGCTGGTATGGGAGTAGGGCCTGGGCTGCCTTCAGAAAGTTGAGTTGGGTCCCTGGGAAGTCGTGGCCTCAGCTCCCCATCTGTAAAATGGGCAGATGGTCCCAGCCTGCTGCCGGGGACCTACCCCTATCTATCAGCACTGGGTTTCTAGGCCGAGCCTTCCTTGGCCAGGGCCTTCTCACCCTGGAGCCCTTGGACTTGGTGCTGGGGTCAGTGCTGGCTTTCTCCTTCTTCTGGGTCTTGGGGACAGGCCTGTCAGCGGTGCTGCCCTTGAGGACACGGAGCAGGTAGAGAGAGGCGTTGAAGTAGTAGAAGGAGATGGAGGAGTCAGCCTGGTGGCCAGCCTGCTGCACCAGCCGCTCCACCTGGGGGTACAGAGTCTCCACGTGGTTGCTGACATCATGGCAATAATGCCGAGAGCGGCACAGGTGGTGTCTGTGGGGTGGGAAAGGGCAGAGGTGGGTACAGGTTCTCTTTCCTCCTCTGCTCCCTGCCCAAGCAGAGCCTGCCCCAAGAGCAAGGACCCCGAGTCCTGTTTCACAGGTGGAGAGACAGGCATCTAGAGGAGAGAAGGGCTCTGACCACGGCTGCAGAGGCCAGGCCACCTGCAGATTTGCTCTGAAGATGAGCCAGCAAGGAAACTGGTGCCCTGGGCTGAGGCTGTACCACAGGCCAGACAGCCTTGACCTGGTCCACACTGCCTGTCTGCACCTGTCTCTTGAGGGACAGTGGCTTCCAGGCCCTTTGTGAAACAAGCCCAGGGTCTGTGTGCTCCAAATGCTGTGTGGCCCTGAAGAGCTGGGAACAGAGTGCGGACGGCAGGCAGCGCACTCAGTGAACTCCACCCAGCTCAGGTGGCGGAGTGAGCCAGCCACGGAAGTGTGTCCCGGGGTAGGCATGAGATGGGCGGGGGTGCTGATCATCAGGTCCCCCCGCCCCTGGTGTATACTTGGCACCTCAAGTCTCTAGGCCTTTGTCTCCTGCACATCTGCCACCCCAGTTCCTTTGCTGGGCTCCCTGCTGTGTACAGCTGAGCCAGCTGCCTGTTTCACAGAAGGCAAACCAGATCCCCACCCCTGCTTCACTCTTGGTGAAAACGTTTCTGTGGTTCCGATACGGCTCCGTCAGGTCCCTGAGGCTTCTTACAGTCCAGCTCCTTCTGAACGCTCCTTCCTGTGTGTGCTCTGTTCCCCCAGCACTGCTGACACCTCCTAGGAGTCCTGCCCTGGAACCTCAACCCTGCCCCCCACCACTTTGTGCTCCACTGCCTCCTAGCCACTTCCTGCCATGGCCCCGTTGTCACTACTGGATGACCCATTCAGTAGTGGTTTCCCAGCTGCAGTGACCCGTGGGCAGGGATGGGACTGGGGCCCCGCAGACCACAGGCCTGGGGCAGTGAGTCCGCTGTGGAACTGTGGCTCCATGGCTCCGGCCCTTTCTAGCTGGGTCGCGTGAAGGCCCAGCGCCTGCCGTGCAGGTGCTCACGTGAAGATGCGGGCTGTCTTGTGCAGCAGGTCCTGCTCCTGCTTGCTGCTACTGTTGCGCATGCTGCGCCGGATGATGTTCAGCAGTGGCTCGAGCAGGTCCAGGACCAGGGGGTTCTCAGGCTGCTTGGTCACCAGCACCTCGATCAGGTCCAGGACCTGCGGCCAGGATGGGGATGCTCAGCCAAGTGTGGGAGTGTGTGCAGGGTGGGGAGGAGAGGGGCGACTGGACTGGGGGCGACGGTGGCGGCAGGGCTGGCTCCGCGCTCACCCGGATCTGGAAGTCCCGCCGGAGCATCTTCTCCTTTTGCAGCTTGTTTTTCTCGTCTCTCCGGGCCTGGATGCGCAGCTTCTGCTCGGCAAAGAGGCTGGAGAGGTTCTGGTCCAGGGCCATCATGGCCTCGTCACCCAGCTCCTCTTCGTTGTCATCCTCACTGTCCACTCCCCCCTGAGAGGCAGATGCCCAGTGAGCAGCCAGGCCTTGCGTGGACAGATGCAGACGCGCGAGGCCCTCCCGAGCCCCTGCTCACCAGTGCCTTTCCTGACTGTAGCACCGCCATCAGCTGCTCCCGGAAGCCCTGGTCCACGTACCCATCACGAGCCTCCTCATCGCTCTCCTCCTCATCGCTGCCCTCCTCGCTCTCGGAGTTTTTGTTGTCCTCGCTCTTGTCCTGTGGGTGGCCACTGTGTCACACCTCCTCACCACCAACAGCCTACCCACCCTGCCCTGCCTCCTGCTGGCAAGTACCTCCTCATTTTCCAGTTGCCTCTCACAATCGTCCATAACCACCACATTGTCATCCTCATCCTCGCTCTTGTCGGGGCTCAGCACCTGTGGGGACCCCCGGACAGCTGACCCCCCTGCCTCCTCAGACCACTGGGCCCCCCTGACTGCTTCCCCTGATGGGCCCTGTCCAGTCCTGGCCCAAAGGCCCCCATTTCAAGGAGGAAAATGGAACCCAGGAGAGAAGGCCACGCCTTCCAACGCCCACGGCTGGCACCTCCTCAGTGGACCCCAGACCCCTCAGACACCCTGGAATAGGCTTGCACAGCAGTGGTTTGAGTGAGGTCCCCACACCCCGTGGATCACTCTGAGGATGAGAAGTGACGTGGCAGCTCCAGGGCAGCCCGGTGCTTGAGGAGCCCCGTTCTGGTAGCCATTTCCCCCAAGGCTCCGACTTACGTTCAGGATTAGTTGCAGGGCATGTGGAGTCAGGTGGGAGCAGACGTGGCTGAACACGCTCCTGGCCACCTGGCGAATCAGGTGGCTGGGCTGGGCCAGGAGGGCCAGTAGGATCTCCACCAGCACTTCCACCCATGGCGGCTCCTGGGGGTCTGCAAGTGGGGAGAGGGCTAAGTCTAGATAGGGAACCACTGTCCCTTCCTGGTTCCTGTCGTGCCAGGACATGCCCTGCCCCCCTCCCTGCCACAGGGACAATGACCCACTGGTGGCCTTGGAGCGGGTCCGGCGGGTTCTCTCCCCTAGGCTCTTCTTGATACAGGTCTGGATGTCACCCAGGATGTCACAGCTCTCTGCAGGGGACTGTGAACAGGACAGAAATCAGGAGCCAGGCCCCACTTCCAGCTTGTGCTGAGCCAGAGGGGCTAGCCCAGTGGGAGCAGCTGGCATCCAGAGGCCTGCAACACTCCAGCTCGCCCTGGCCAGTCATCATCACGTCCAGACTGGAGGAAACCAGCCAGACCCCAGGGGAAGCCCAAGCTGACCATCTTTTACAACTAATATGTGGGTACAGGATCTGAGACTCCTTGGGAAACACGCAGCCCAGCTTCTCCACTGATGCCCCGACAGACGGATGGTGCTGGGTCCAGTCCCAGCCTCCTGATTTGTAATCCCAGATTTTTCCTCCCACACCTGGCTCAACATTGTCACAAAAAACTAAGCAATAATTTTAACTAACTTAATCTAAACCAATTTTAAACCCATCTTGCTGGTATGTCTGGATTCATAACTACCAACCAGTGAGTTAAAAGGAGCCTCTTGAAAAGTCTGTGTGCCCTCTGGTCAGACTTCCCTCATAAAGCAGCAGGTAGCTTCAGTGTTTGGACCAGGTGTGGTAGAAAGAAGGCGAAAATAGTAGCCTTAAGGCGCTGGCCACGTCTGTCTCCAGCTCCCTGGCTGTGGCCAGACACCTTTCATCCAGGGTTTTGCTATACCCGTGGTCCAAGTCAAGCTCAGAGGTCCCAGGGTCTGGAGCAGGCTCTGATGTGTCCCAGTCACCCAGGCCCAATTCCAAGGACTGGAAGGGGGCATTGTGGCCCAGCACTAGACACACAACTTGTCTATGGGTGGGTCTCAGAGTAGCTGATGTCTGGAAGCAAAACCACAGCTAAGAGGCCAGAAGAGAACTAAGAGTTCTGGTTTCCTCAGGCTACTTAAGATCTGAAGCAGTTCCCTAAAAGGCTCACAAGGTGAGAGGGAAAACCTCTGGCAAAATCAGAGATCCATCAAGGAAAAAAACTTTTTTGACAAGGGTCAAAAAAGTTGCTAACACTAAGCTTCAAACGCAGCCAAAGCTTCTTGGTGGAGAGAACAGAGAGGGAGACAAAGCTGGGTCGAGAGAACCCATTATTAGAAGGTGTGTGAGAGTGGTATTGTGACCATCACAGTGATGGAAACATGTATGCTGGGGAGCAATGGCAGAAAACCCACTGACCTCACCCCATTCCTCTGGACTCTAGGTGTGCAAGGGTTAAGTAAGAAAATCGGGACCCCCCTTCCTCACTGACTACCAGGAGACAGCAGCAGCGCCCCCATGTGTGACCGGTCTGCCCAGAGTAGAGAGCAGGAAGGACCCCCTCCAGGGAAGGCAGCACTTTATCCTTTATATCACCACCTCTGGCCAATAAAGCAACATGGAAACAATTGTGGAGGTCCTGTGGGACAGCGGAGTCGAAGCCCTATGTCTGAATTATCAGAATCCCAGCCAATAGCTGTGTGGCCTGGGGCAAGTTACTGCATCTGAATCTGTTACCCTATCTGTCAAACCAGGAAAAAGCATCTGCCTCAGAATGGCAGTAATTAGAAGTAAGTGATGCTGCACAGAGAGCTCAGGACAGCTGGTGCCCAGGGAGTGGATGAAGGTATTTTTCTTTGGTCTGTAAATCCACCCAGGAGCAGTCAGCCCAGGAAACATGCCTATCTTAACCCCCCAGGCCTTTCCTGGCCACCAGCACAGGCCCCAGCCTCTCAGGAGGAAGCCTGTTATGCCCAGGCCCCAGGGCCCTGACCCCCTTCCTTCCAGGCTATAGTACCTTGAAGAGGTGGATGGCCACCAGGAGCAGCAAGTGCTGAAAGGCAGTGGCCTTGGCCTTGGCCTTGGCCTCTGAGGAAAGGGCCTCTAGTTCCTTCAGAGTCTGCAGCATCCTGGGGTGAGACGGGCATGCTTTCAGGTCACTGCTGCCATGCCGACCCAAGTGTCCCACCCATCCCTGGAAACCCCGCCCTCTCACCGGTCCCAGGTCTGGCGCTGCTGCGTGGTGAAGGGCGCCAGGGCAGTCACATTGCGACCATGGTTCAACAGCATGTCTGCAAACTGTATCAGGCGGTAGGTCCAGGACTGCTTGTCCTGGGTCTGCTCTGGTGCCTGCCTGAACTGTGTGCTGAGGGTCTGCAACAGGCTGGGTAAGGGCAGGGGTCAGGGTCACAGGTCACAGATCCACTCCCCCTCCCAACCACTGATCCCCCAAACTCACTGGGCCTCTGCAGTTGTTCCCAGCTTAGAACCAGCTGGAGGAAGCCAGCACCTCCAGACCACCTTCCCACCTGCTTGCCCACCCACAGGCCTCCCTGGGGCTGCCCACTGCCCACCTGAAGAAGGCACTGCTGACCACCTGCCGGGCCCGGCTGTCCAGGGGGAATGAGAACCGCTGCTCCGTCTCCAGGATCTTGGCCGTGGGTGTCTTTGTTTCAAAGAATGCATGGAAAAAACAAAACCTGGGGAGGGTGGGAGAGTAACCGGTGTTGCTTTGGTTGGCACCCCTCCTCGGATGGCACCACTGAGGGCCTGGTGGCTGGAGGAGAAGCCACTCTGGTGATGAGGGGGAGGGGGCACTTCCAGGTCTGAATCCCCAGCTAAATGCACGGCGGCCCGAAATGGGGACAGAACCAGGGTCCCTCCCTCGGAACCCAGGCAGACAGCAAGCTGTGCGGCCTGTGCCACGTCAGTGTCATTTCTGCAAACATGGACTGCCCCATCTTGGGATGATGGGGAGGGCCGAATGACCACCCGGCAGAGATGAGGCCAGGATTGAGGCTTCCCTGCCACCATTGATGTGCAAAGGCCAAGCCTCAGAGGACCTCGCAGCTCCACCTTTCCTGGGACCCTCCCTTTCCTGGGCTCCCAAAGAATTTCCATAAAGCCCCTCTACCTGAGGGGTCAAACGTTGCCAGTTCCCACTGATGAGCTGACTTCCAGGCATCTAATTCCAGGGAACCCAGACTACGACTTGGCAAGAGGCCACCCACCCATGGGGAGTTGGGGTTCGCGCCTGTCTCACACCTGGCCACTTCTTCAACCAAGGCCTCCTCCTTCTCCACGTGCAAGTTGTCCACAATGCTGACCAGGCGAAGGATGATCCACTTCCGTAGCCGGAACATGGCTCGCTCAGGCCTGGCATGTATGCGGCAGGGTACAAGCCATTTAGAGAAGGCAAAATGGTACCCCTTTGCCCATCTTGGAGACAGGCAAACTGAGATCTCCCACCCCTTCTCATCAGCCTGGGAACAATGAGGAAAGAAGCCTTCCAAGGGCCACAGCTGGGCTTCCTCTCTCCACTCCCAGAACCATGACATTGTGAGGGAGGGTCCAGGTCTTGGGGCTGCCCAGTTCTGAATCCTGGGCCCCTCCCCTTCTCATCAGCCTGGGAACAATGAGGAAAGAAGCCTTCCAAGGGCCACAGCTGGGCTTCCTCTCTCCACTCCCAGAACCATGACATTGTGAGGGAGGGTCCAGGTCTTGGGGCTGCCCAGTTCTGAATCCTGGGCCCCTCCCCTTCTCATCAGCCTGGGAACAATGAGGAAAGAAGCCTTCCAAGGGCCACAGCTGGGCTTCCTCTCTCCACTCCCAGAACCATGACATTGTGAGGGAGGGTCCAGGTCTTGGGGCTGCCCAGTTCTGAATCCTGGGCCCCTCCCTGCCAGGCCCACTCACCCATGGAGCGAGGCTTCCTGGGCTTTCTTCTGGTTGGTGGTACTGAAGTCCACCAAAGAGTCCAGGTCGGGCTGGAGGAACATGTCCCGCAGCCAGGCCACATAGCCCTTGAGGGCTGGGGAACTCAGGAACCGCACAACCCGCCAGAAGGTAGGCATGACGGGGAGGCCCTGGTTGGTGATGGACGTGAAGGCCACCACCATGGCCAACTGCCGCTCGGGGTCGTCCCGGCAGCCTTCCAGGAAGGCACCCACATACTCATTCATCTCTGGAGCAAACTTGAACTGGTTTGGGAGCTGTAAGAGTCAGGCACAGCACTGGGGTCACCAGTTGGGCAGGGCCCAATAGCCTCACTGGCCTCTTCCACGACAGTTAAACTGAGGCACACCAGCCCCCTTACCCTGCTGCCCCGATGGTTCGGTCTGGCATCAAGGCCTGCCTCTGCCTGAGTGCTCCAGCCCCCAATTACCCTGGCCTCAGGGCCCCTCCTTCCACCTCTCACTGCACCAGGCAGGCTGTTTTCCAGGCTTGAGGCAGGGCAGAGCAGTGGCTCAGCATCCAGACTGAGCCACCAAACGGACCTGGGTTCCAATCTCACTCCTGCCAGCTCCTGGGTGTCACTGTGGGGCTCAGAACCTGACGCTTGTCCCATGGTGACTATGTGCGAAGCACCGCGTCACATGTTCTTGTGTGGCAGTTAACCCGATAGTCTTCACGACCAGCCTGGAAAGGTACTGCTCCTCATCTCAGACAAGGAGAGGCGGGTGCAGGGATGGGAAGCAGCCTGTGCAGGCCACACAGCTAGTAGGCAGTGGAGGCAGAACCGGAACCTGGCAGTCTGGTCCCTGACTGTTCTCTCAGCCACCACTTGATTCTCCTGCCACATGCATAGCTCAGGGTAGGGAGCACAGCTGTGCTCCAATGCTGATGACAAGACTGTTCTTATTATAACATCACCTGGGGTGGTGGGAGGTCTGGGTGAATTGCTGGCTGTACAAGCCTCTGCTGAGGGGCTGGGGGGCAGAAGGACTGACCCACCAAACTACACTCAGAGGGGAAGAAGTGTGTGGGGCCCAGGCAGCTCACTTTACCCAGAGGGAGGGGCACTCAGGTCCCAGGCCCCTCCCCCAGCAGCTGTGCTGGCCCATCCCAGGCAGGACTGCGGAGGCAGCCCACCCTCCTTCTGGGTAGGGAGCAGCCCGCTGCCTGGCTGTTTCTGGCTTTGGGGGCGGCACCCACCTTGGAAGTGACCATGTGCTCTCCGTAATGTCGGATCAGGTCTCCCTGCATCACGAGCTGCAGCTGCTCGTGGGACAGCAGGGGAAGGGCCGCACCAAGCAGGCGGAAACATAGGTAGCTGAGGGGTGCACGACAGAGACTGGTCAGAGCCCTCAGGTCCCCTGGTGGCCTCGGGACTGCCTGCTCATCCCCACTTAACAGACAGGCATCAGGGGACTGGGAAAGGACAAGCACCATGCAGACCTGGCAGGCCAGGAGTGCTTCTGCAGCAGGCCTTGTTCCACAACCTCCTTCCAGAACTGTAGGAACTTGTCCTCCTTCTGTGCTAGGCGCAGCAGGTCCAGCGCCACGGTGGGCAGCCTGCGTTCCTTCTTCACAGCAATGGCAGCCGTTTTCAGAACAGTCACCAGTCTGGGGAGGGGCACGAGGGGACTCAGGAGGCACCCACCAGACAGGGCCCAGGGCACCTGGGGTGGTAGGCACAGCCCTAGGCCGTTCCACACACCTGTGGACAGTCATGTGCAGGCCCACAGTCCCAAGGAGGGCCATCCACCCACCTCCCTCATACCTGGGCATGTTTTCAGTTGAGAATAGGTTGACTGATCCCATCAGCTTCTTGAGCTTCTCAGGTACCTTCTGCTGGGCCAAGAGGAAGAGCTCCAGGTGCTCAGGGGAGCTGAGAACCGAATTCATGTCGGGCTTGAGGACCTTTGGCAGGATCTCCTGCAGCATGGCCTCTGGGACCTAAGGTGGGGAGACGGGTTAAGGAAAGGTGACTTCCTCAGAGCACCCTATGTCTCTCTCCTGTGATGCGAGCCCAGTAGACTGTTTCACATGCTGGGCTCCTGCAAGGCCCTTGGCACAGTCTGAGGTGGGACAGCCACAATCCACCTTGCTAGGCATCAGAATCATTGGAGCATATGTGATAAAAAGCTCAAATCCCCAAGTCCCAGGAAGCTGGGTTTTTAACAAACACCCACTGATGCTAACAGGCCTGGGGCTACCCTTTTAATTATTCCTCTTTTGTGTTTTTCAGAACTAGCCCCTTTCTTATACAAGGAGCCCTAAGTGAAGAGACAGGATTTGAATTCAGATCATTTTGGCTCTGTGGTCAGAGGTGTGTGGAAATCCCTGGTCTGGGATGTGCCCGTCCTTGCCTCTTCCTCAGGAGCAAAGAATTCAAGCCATTAGCCTCCCTTCATTTCCCAAGTAGGGCAGCAGGGGCCCCTAAGGGGCTTCCTCTGCCCAAAACAACAATGGCAAACATGTTTAAAGAACTTGCCATATGCCAGGCGTTGTTCTAGAACTGCACTGTCCAATATGGCAGCCACTAGCCACACATGGCTACTGAGCATTTGGAACATGTTAATCTGAATGGAGATGTGCTGTAAACTATACATTGAGATTTGGAGACTAACGTGACAAAAAGGACATAAGATACATCTGCAAGTTTTTACAATCAGTGGCACACATTAACTCGTGTGTCCTCCACATTTCTTTTATCAGGTAGTGCCACTTGTGTGCCCACAGCTGGTAAGCTCGCACCTCTGAGAGGATGTCCACCAAAGCCTTCTGGGGCTGCTCCTGTAAATGGTTGTGGTGCTGGGCCAGACCTTGCAGCAGTTTCACTGACTTCATCAGTGCCTCTGGGTCCTGGTACCCACAGAATGGGAGAGGGTATGAGTAGGGCATGCCATGGGCCCCCCCACTCTCAAGCCAGTCCACACGCCCCCTGTGCCCCCTCGGCTCTTACCTTCATCAGCCGGCCGGACTGAAAGAGGGCTAGTACCCCAAACAGGTTTGCAAAGAGAGCAGGTCTCATCATTGCCTAGAAAGTGATGCCAGCATGGGTGAGAAGGGCCCAAGTATTCCCCCCTGCCCCTTGGGGCTGCTGACCTCTCTGCGGCCACTAACTCTCTCACCTTCTTAACCTTCTGCAGGTCATGTCTCTCCTGTATCTGCTGCAGGATGCTGCACAAGGGGATGTCTTCGAAAGACTGTAACAGCTGCCAGGCGTTGTGGCAGGAGGGAGAGTGGTTCAGGGGAGTAGTGGCCCAGCTACATCCCAATGCACATCAACCTCCACTGGCTTCTCCCTTCAGCTACTGCCCGGAGGCTTGGGCCCCTGCTCTAGTCCCGGGGATGATTCAGAAGCTGCGCACCCCTCTCCGAGCACCGCTGATGGCACACTGCTGCTCCCAGGGGGCCCAATCTTGCCTCCCTGCCCCCCACGCTCACCCGGGGTTCAGAGAGCACCTCCTCTGGCCCCCAGGTTGCTGGCCTCTGTCCCACTCTATCCCCACAGGCTGCTCTGAGCTCTCCCAAGGCTGATCCTAAAGGACGGATCTTTGTCACCCTCCCAGTTGCTCAAGTTCCTCAGAGGTGGCCCGTAAACTGCTGAGGGCCCCTTGTGAGGAGACAGCCCTGAACCTTGTAAAATCCACCCCAAAGCTTACTAACCTCAGTAAGATGTAACTCAGAAGCTGGAAAACGCACCAACCATAAAGAAAACCTGGCCCACCCTCACTCCACCTGCCGGGCCTCCTCCCACAGGCCTCGCTCGTATACTTTCTCCACCTCCACCTGGGGCCACCCCAACTTCTCCCGCGGACCACTACCTCCTCCCTTGCGGCCTAGACATCTGCCCTCCGCACTCCACACCGTTTCGGCCAGCACAGTTGGACCCCTTCCAGGAACCACCACCTCACCTGGGCCAGGGCCAGACTGTAGCAAGGCCGGGCGGTTTCTCGCCCGACCCCGAGCCCAGTGATCAGACGCTTCAGGGCGTACTTCATCTCCGAACCCTGGGGAACCAAGCGCACCCTCCGGTCACCCAGTGGGAACCGTCCCGCACCGGCCCACCCCACCCTCGGACCGCGCTCAGGCCGGCATCCAAGTTCGCGACCACGCGCCCCCAGGCCCGACTCCTGGGGCCCGCCGCCTCATGTTTTGCGGGGCTCTCCGTAGCCCCGGGCCCCGCCACCATACCTCCGGCCTTGTGCGTAGATACTCCAGCAGCTTCTCCGTGGCCTCAAGCCGCGTCTCCTGCTGCGGCTTCGCAATGTCCCAGAAGAAGTCCAAAAACTCACGACTGTGCTTCAGCAAGCCCTGACGGTCGGCAGGTAGGGCGCCACCCTTCCTCGCCTCTGCCGGCGACGTAGGCTCACCGACGTCCTGGCTCTCCATCGCCGCCATGCTCTCCGAACACGTGGGCTCTGAAGAGGGCCTCTTCCAGGTCGGGTCGCGGCGCACGCGCACTGCATTGGGCTGGGGGGCGGGGCCTGGAGAGTGAGGCGGGGCCGGTCCTCTGGCTCTTAATCTGGGAGATCAGGAGTTTAGATTTCATTCTGAGTGTGATGGGAAGTCATTGAAGGGTTTTATGCTGGGCAAACCTTGATCTTATTTACATTTTTAAAAGTTTATTCTGATGCTGTGTGGGGAATGGACTTCAGGAGTGCATAGGTAGAAGGGGGAACAGAGACCATGGTGGACTGGACCGAGGTAATATGACAGCAGGTCAGATTTGGCTAATAGGACCTGGTAGGGGGTGATGGATGTCAGGGGAGAGGAAAAGAGGGAGGGATACGAGGTCTGGGGTTAAATAACTGGCTAGATTGTGGTTTCATTTACCGAGCTGTGGAAAAATTTTCTTTGCAGGGGGTTGGGGGTGGGAGTGGAGGTGCTGGGATCAAAGTTCTATCAAATCAGAGATGGCTTTTACAATGGGCTGGGGAGGGGGTGCTCCTGGCTGCCCTGCATCTTGACTTGAGAAGCTCTTATAATCCAGAGAGACCCCAGTTCTCAGGAGGTCAGGGCCAACCCTGGTCTTTAAATTCCACACCCCCAGTTCTGGGCCCCTGTGTACCCAGCCCCCTGGGATGCTTCCTACTCACCCTCTCAACCCCTTCCTTGCTCTGCTGTCTGTTTTAGAAAGTGGGATTAAGATGTTTGCCTTGTACATATGGTGCCCAGGGAGGCAAAAGTGAACACAGCAAGGGGCTGCGGAGAGACACCAGCCTGGCTCTGCCTGTCTGGGTGTGGGTCTCCTGTGCTGCCTACTGGGGAAGCCCTAACACCAGGCACCTCAAAGGCTGATGGGAAACTAGCCGAGCAGCAGGAATGGCACATGGAACCCAGGAGACTAGATCTTTATTTTGTTTCCAGCCCAGTTGAGAGAGAGCAGCAGAGGGCATCCTGAAGGGGAGAATGGAGATGGTGGTGGTACCCCAGGCTCTGCCTGCCCTACCCGTGGGGCCCAGAGCCCAGGCAGGGGCTTGACATGCTACCCCCTGTCCTTCCCAGAGCTGGATCTGAACTCAGGGCTGGCCCCAGGCCCCAGTGCTCTTCCCTCATTATCCTCAGCTGAAATGAGAGCCAGAATTTGAGTCCAGGTAGCTGACCAGGCCAGAGGTTAAGGGCCTGAGCCAGCAGTGAGCACATAATTGATTTACTCTTTATGTCCTGCATTGCTGCTGGGCCTGCTCTGCCCCTGCCTCTAGACTTGAGACCTGCTCCTCCTTCCCCCCAACCGACACTGCTCCCCACTTAGAACCCCTGAAAGGGGCAGCAGCCATTGGGGACACTGTAGACATGGGCATGCTCTGCGTGGGCTGCCACCTGGAGCAGGGTCCCTTGGCCACAAATGCTGGGGCTTTCTGTTGGTCCTCGCTGGTCCTGCATCTGGGGCTTGGCCAGGTGGCTGAGCAGGGTGTGCGTCATGACACTGGCTACTGTGGGGGTTCCTGAAGCCACCAGCCCCAAAACACCGGCCTCTGTGTCATCTGGGCTGCCATGAAGGATGAGGGGGCAGGCCCAGGGACTAGGTGCAGAGTTGGCCACCAGGTTGCTGAGTAGAACACCGGTGCTTGGGGACAAGTGTCCAGAGCCAAAGGAGCCATTGAGCGAGGAGGTGAGAAGAAGCACAGAGCCACTGCTGTCCACAGTGGCCAGGACACTGCTCACAGGGGTCTCAGTAGCTTGTGGGAGCGGTGGGCAGGGGTCAGGACTGGGTCCTTCGGAGTTGAGGGCTGCCTGCAGCAGGGCCAGCAGCTGTGGGCCCGCTGAGGGGCTGGGGGTGGTGAGCAGCATGCCCTGGGCCACAGGCAGTTGTAGTGCTGGTTCCAGGGTGGGCATGGGACCAGCTGAGGGTCCCTCCAGCCCCAGCTCTCTGGCCAGTAGCCTCAGTAGGGCGTCCCCAGCAGGGGCCAGGGGCAGGTCAACTGCTGACCTGTTCAGCACGGCTGCCAGTTTGGGGTTGGTGGCTCGGGCCCTTGGGCCCAGGGGGGTCCCATCAGTGTGACAAAGTAGTGGACAGAGGCCCTTTGTGCCCTCAGCTGCCAGAGCCCTGGCCAGGGGTGTGTCCACCAGGAAGCCCTCTTGAGCCAGGGTGGTGGGGCCCACCAGCAGGCGAGGCCAGGGCAGGCGGCCAAAGCGTGTGTGCAGCAAGTGCAGGGTAGGCAGAGCTGAGGGCAGCCCCAGGCCAGGAGCCAGGGTCTGCACTGGGCCTGATGTCAGGGCGGTTGAATTGCCTGAAGAGCTGTTGTAGAAGAGGCCCCAGAACATGGCACCTGGAGGAGACAGAGGGTCACACAGTGGTCAGGGACACTGACTGGGATCAGGGTCACTCTGTAGTGGTCACTGACTGAGCCTGGAGTGAGGAGTTACTCTCCAGGCCTGGAGATGAGGCCAATAACCAGACCTGGGGTCCCAGTCATATGGACCTGGTACCAAAGGGTCACCGTCTAGCACTGGGGCTCCTGCCCAAGTCCTAGGTGCAGCTCACTAAGCAGCCCTGAGGTCAGGGCCACTGGCTGCCTGAGTCCTCAGTCACTGCCCAGGCCTGGGGTTGGAGTTACTGTGTAGGGCTGTGGGTAACTGACCTAGCCCTGTGGCGTGAGGATGCACCACGGCCAGACACAACGCTGCTCCAACTCCCGCATCCACGACATTGCCCCCGGCAACAAGCAGCTCTTGGCCCAGGTGGGAGCAGGTGGCTGCAGCAAGAAAGGGACCATCATGGGGAGGGGCCTGGGACCAGCAATCTGGTCCCCTCCTCTGCCTGAGCTCTTCTGACCTGCAGGGCTGATGATGGCACCGTGGTGGTATACGCCTGGGTGGTGGGAGTGCCCGCTGGGTGGAGGCACCACTGAGTCTGAGGTTCCTGTAGCGCCACCCCCAGCGTGGAGTTGCCTTGCAGCCAGAGAGAAACCAACAGCCAGCAGCAGCAGGGCGCTGACTAATCGGGCCCAGGTGCCAGGCAGGCCACCAACCTCGTTCCTGCAGAGAGGGGGTGTCCTGAGCCACAGCGGGGGCAGGGGGACATCCAAGAGCTCCAAGAGAACCCAGGGAATATTTCTCAAAAGGTTTGGTCCTGCTTGCAGGAAAAGTACAGTTTGCCAAGAAGAAAGGCCCTTGGCAGAGGGTGCAGCATGGACAGGAACAGGGAGATGGGAGGGAGCTTGGGAAAACTGAAGGCAGGAAGGTAGGGAGTTTCGGGAGGAGGTTGGAGAGAAAGGGTTGAGCCAGTGGGGAGGCAGCCTTGGGGGGCCTGGCAGGTTTGTGCAGTAGGGTCCAGCCAGGTGCAGCCAGGCTCTAACCTGCCCAGCAGGTGCCTCCTGCACCAAGGGTGGTGGTGGTGGCTGGGAGCCTTTGACAGAGCAGATGGTGGGCTGGCTTGGTAGAAATGTCCCTTTAGATGCACAGATCTTGGGTTGACTGGTGCAGGCCAGGTCTGGGGCTGTAGCCCAGGTTCCCTCCATTCAACCAGAAAGTTCCTGGAGCTGAGCCAAGCAGTGGGTTTTCTGGCCCACTTTGGAACTCCCAGGGGGAGGGCCTTGCCGCCTCGACTTCAGGCCTGAGTTGCCGGGTGCCCAGACCCCTTCCTGACTCACCGGGGGGATTCCTGAGGCCTCCAGGGGTCTGGAATCAGCGGCTCTGATGTCTCCTCTCCTTCCTCCTCAGACTCCAAGTTCGGCTCCCAGAGCAGCAGCTTCTGGTAGATCACAGGTCCTGCTGTGGTTTCCATGGCCGCACCGTGCCTGCCCCAGCCCTCCTAGTTGCCAGCCTCCAGCTGAGCCTCAGTCCTCGCCTGGGCTTGGCTCCTGGGAGGTGGAAGAAGCCTTGGGGAAGGGTGGTGTGGAATCTAGAACAGGTCTGGGCAGGGCATGGGGCCAGGGAGGTGCGTGTGAGCCTGTACCATTAGGGCACAGGGCTCTAGGGGCTCCGACGGCAGGGGACTCTGTCAGGGAACACAGCTCCGTGAGGAGGGAGGAGCCCAGCCCTAAGGCTACAGCCACAGCCCTGGACTCAGGACTTCCACTGTCCCCTGCCTTTAGGGGTAGTACCCCATGGACCACCTGGCCTGGTCGGGACTCTAGGGATGGTGGAGTTTGAATTAGAACTACAGTTACATTGTAGCTTGCATCAGGGCTCAGCATGTGACTGGGTTCCAGTATGGGGGTGTCTGGTCTCCATCCGCGGTCAGGGCTGGGTTTCCCTGTCTGGGGAGCAACTTCCTGCGTGCTGAAGGTAGTACTCTGGGCATGTCATGTTGGCTCTTGTCCAGCAGGTGGCGCCACAGACCGCTTGGGGAGCAGCAGCCTGGAAACTGAGTTTCCAAGTTCATCACTACCTATTACTGTGCGACAAAATCACACAATCCCAAAGATGTTGCAGGACAAGTTATGGTCTCCAGTCTCCTCTGTTCTCTAGTCATCTCTTTGCCAATCACTCTCTGCAACTTCAAACCTTCTCCATCTCCTCTGCCCTAAACCGCGAGCCCTCCGGCTTCCACTCTCAGCGGATTATCTTGCCTCCTATTTCACTAGGCAAATCAAGGCTGTCACTAGGAGGCTCCCAAACCCTCTCCCAACCACAAACCCGCCTTCCACACTGCTCTCTCCTCCCCCACTGCAGTGGAAAAGCTATTCCCTGCCTCTGGTTCAGCCCCACACCTCCCACCTCTTGCCTTCTGCTTCCCCAGGGACCTCGCACTCTCATGGACCCCGTCTCTCCTGCAGCTTCACATCTTCACTGCTGGTTCCTTCTTGACCACATTTAAACAGGGCCAAGTCCTCAGAAATTCCTCTCCCAGGTAGACACCCAACAGACATGTACCAGAATGTCCACAGCTGCATTCATGGGAATGGCCCCACATTGGGAAGTGCCCACCCAGCCATGATCAATGGAACGAGTTGGGTGGTCGCACAATGGAATGCTCTGCAGCAGTGAGGATCTGGGATCTACTGGGGTATGCAGCCATATGGCCCACTCTGAGGGGCTTGGCAGGTTCGTAAGATGGATCTTACAAACACAGGATGAGAGAAGCCAGACAGCAGACACAGAAGAGCACATACTATTTGCTTCCATTTACTTAGAGTACAAGAACAGGTAAGACTAGTCTGTGCCGTTAGAGGTGAGACAGTGACTACTGGAGGCACCAGAGGGCTTCAGGAGGCTAGTGATGTTCTGTTTCTTTATCTGATATTACTTGCATGAGTGTGCTGATTGTGAATGTATGCACTTATGCATTTATGATGTATATGCTTTTCAAGAAGTATATTGTGTTTCTACGAAAAGTTAAAAAAAAAAAGCTCACATACTTTCTACATTGAAACAACCACCAGAAAAATCATCCTTTAATCCCACATGGCTCTCCAGCCACTTCCCTTTGTCTCTGCCTCTTCCCAAGCAGGTAGAGTGGTTCTCTAACTTTTGTGTGTATTGGAATCACAGAGGGAGCTTGTTAAATCAGATCGCTGGCTCTTCCCAGAGATTCTGGTTTTACAGGCCTAAGGCAGGAACCAGGAACCTGCCTTCCTAGCTTCCATGACGCTGCAGCCACCAGTCCTGGAGCCACACTTGGAGTAGAACCGATCCACAAAGAAACCATGTGCACCAGCTGTCTCTGCTCCCTCACTTCCCATTTCCCCTCAGCCACTGTCAGCTGATTTCCATTCTCAGATCCCCAGAGAAACCTTTGGTTTCCAGGTTTTCTGATTTCTCAGACCAATACGGGTCAACCAAGTGGAGATACCACCATTTTATTTTGCCAAGCCATAGGGAGATCATAATTGCCATCTCCTCTCATTTCATAAAATAATTTGATTTTGCTTCCTGTTAACACAATGTGGGAAGATTATAATCTCAGAATGAAGGTCAGTCCATCCTTCCTAAGAAACCATAGTTGGGCACATTATGTGCCACCCCCGTTTCCTGTCCCATCCCCAGCTGGCCCCTGGGCTCCTAGTGCTGGCTCCCTTTGTCCAGCAGACATGATTCTTTGGTCCCTGTCCAGCCAACATTCCGCTGCTCTTAGAGCTTTGCCCTGACAAGCTCTTTAAGGCCAAGATCTCCACTGCTTGGATCCTGGGGTCCTTTTCCTGTGTGGTCTTTCTCAATCCTGCAGCACTGCCTCACACTCCTGGAGATGTGTATTAGCTACGCTCTATGCTCTAATTAGATGCCAGAGAGGCTCTGGGATAAATGGTGCTCAGGTCAAGGTGGCTCCAGGGGCAGATGGAGCCAGTCATTCAGTAGGGGTGGGTGGGAATGGTACTGTTTCAGGAGACCTGTATCTGATCCAGTTTCTGCCACCAACTTGACACATAAACTGCAGGTGAGTCATTTAACTTCTGGGAGTCTTAAAAACATCTTTTTTTTATTAAAAATTTTTTTAATTAAAAAAATTTTATTACCTATCTGTTTTGCCTGAGGGTTTCAGCCCTGGGCAAGTTCACTATGGATTCAGTGAGACAAGAAATGGCAATGGAATGTTCTTGGGGTAAAAGGGTTTATACCCAGCTTTATTCTCATGGTGGTAGGTTGAGCGCTAGAATCACATCTGCACCCAGCAGTCTGAAGGTCTGCAGTCCACCTCTGTCTCTGCCTCAGCCCAGAGCACTGGGCAGAGCTCTTTATATAGTGACTCAGTCAATAATTGTCTGCAGGTATGAAAGCATTAGCCTAGCAGCAGGCCAGTTATATCATCTAGTAGTTTAGGGTCAGGTAAGGATCCTGGCCATAGGAACTTCCATTTTCTCCACACTCCACCTCTCCACAATTCTCATCTCAAAGTCTACATGCTGTCAGTCTTCCATGGTGGTCCCTGTGTGAGAAGAGCATTGTAACCAGATTCCACAACAGCAACAGAGGATAACAACAACATAGACATAATAACAAAAGTTGTTATACAACAAAATTTTGATACAGGTAACAAAAATTATAATAATCCTCAAGCCTGAGGGGGTTATTCTAGCTGTATTCAAACCAGTCCCAGTTCACGATTCACATTTTCCATGGGAGGCCAGTAGCAGTATGGATAGGGGGCTCCATGTACCCCAGCAAGTAGCAATTTTTTTTTTGTTAGGATATGTGCCCAACCCACAAAGACCTTAAGAGCAATAAGACACATGTTTTAATTACACCAACATAGGCAAATCTTGTCCATCAGGTAGGATACATGCAAGAGAGTGGTCCTGTGATAGGACTGCAGCAGGAAGGGGGTCCATCCAGGTCTAGTATATCATACTTTTACCCCTCTCCCCGTGGGGGTTACTGAGGGGTCTATATATAGTGCTACTGGAGGTGCATGCACTGGCCATAATGATAAAACAAAACTCCCTGGTAAGATGCTCCTACCTTCTGGTGTTCAGGATATACTACCATGATCTTTGGGGGCCACTCTGCTGTTACTCCAGGAATACACAGAGGATCAGCTTCCAGGCTTTGTCCCCAAGGTGCCAGGAGGGCCATCCATCGCTGGTCCATGTGTTGAAACGTCCAAGGCCATGCCCACTCAATGGAGTCCCTAGGGTTTAGTGCAGTTGGTGCTGGCAGCAATATATTATTCTGGTGGCCAAACCTTGGCTTCAGTAATTCCTCCTTGGTCTGTACTTGCAGTTGTACAGGGGAGGCAGCATGTCTATGGGGCTCAAGGCTCCCTTCCGGTTTCTCATTCAAACTCTGCAACACTGTCCATAAGTGGAGTGAGCATACCCACAGACTATTGGTGTCTGGCTTCAGGCCACATTCTAACAAACCATTGTATGCCTGTCCCAGTAGGATCATATTGTATAGGAGACTTTCACTTTATCCCTAATTGTTGCACCCATTCCTGTAGTACATGTCCAACAAAGTGGGTGCCTTGATCACTTTCAATTTCCTGTGGTCTGCCATAGGCTGCAAAGGGACACTCCAGTCCTCTTTTGGTTGTCTACTCTGACATGGGCAGAGGCCCAATATAGTCTACCTGCCACCTGACAAGGGTTATCAGCCTCTTAGCTATTGTCCCATCTTGCTGTTGGACTCACTGTAAGTCCCTTTTAGAGTATACAACGCACTCCTGCTGGGTTCTGCTGACTTCTTCAAAGGTCAAAGGCAGGCCCCCACTGATGGGCTATAGCCCACATTGTCTTTTGTCCTGCATGCAACAAACCATGATATAACCATTGGGCTACATCAGAGGCAGGATTTCCTTCTATTCAACGTATCTGGGCCAATTCATCTGCTTCATTGTTTCCTGGGGATGCCAGCAGTAAATGTCCTGTCACATGGTATACTGTAACTGTTTTAGTCTGACTACAGGCCCCTAAGTCTTGCCACAACTCTTGCCCCCAAAGGGGCCAGTGACCAACCATCCAGTTGGCATGGTACCATGAAAGTAGCCAAAGAGTCAAGCCCCAATAGATAGCCCAGCTGTCAGTGCAGACAGCTATTGGGGAGGGCTCCTGGGTGATCACAAGCCACACTGCCTGCAGCTCTGCCCATTGACTGCTCTTCTCCTCTCCATCTTCCATCCATATTGTCTCAGTCTTAGGATGGAAAGCTGCAGCCCTCCATTTTGGGGCCTGCCATGGCTGGAGCCATCTGTGTACCATGCATCTTCGGGTATAGGGGCTCTTCCCTCCTGATAAGTGCTCTCTGCTACTAATGGCTCTAAAGTAAATTCTTCCTGCCTTTCACTAGTCTATGTCACTACCCCAATAAGCATTGGCATTCTTCACTCAAGGGGCTAGTAGAGAGGGCGCTACACTGCTGTAGATATGTGCCTGCGGGGAAAATGGAAGTTCCTATGGCCAGGATCCTCACCTGACCCTACACTACTAGATGATGTAATTGACCTGCTGTTAGGCTAGTATTTTCACACCTGTAGACAATGAAATATTATTGACTGAGTCACTACATGAAGAACTCTGCCCAGTGCT